TTCATGTTTTGGCATGAGAAGCGAGTATCTCTTACTCATGTTTCTGCTTGAACGGCATACATGACATTCTGATTCACTGAAAGGTGAGGGAGGAATGCTATCCCGATTCTCGCTTATGACTTTGATAGGACGGCTGTTTTAGGTGATGCAGATCTTCTTTGTCTAGATCAGTCGGTACAATGTAGTGAGAGATGCACATAGTTCGTGGGGCCATTAACCAACAAATCATTAACTTGAGCCAAATTTCCTCCATAATAGACTCTAAGCGTACAACCTTGAATGCTCAGGCTTCGTCTTACTGATAAACCTAGTCCCCCGAATCACCCGTGCCCTGGTTATCCACCTCTGCTATGCGCTGCTCGAGGGCACGATAAAGCATTCGGTCGATCGACGTAGTGTATCCAGGGGCGAACTACGATCCTCACGGGTAGGCTCAAACCCTCATAGATCATCTAATGGAATCTTGCGGGCGGCCTCGGCTACTCCACCGAGGTCTCATCTCAACTTAGGAACGCACTACTCGAATATTCACGATTTAGTATATCGTCTAGCCTATTCCTTTAAATATCTAAAGCTGCGAACTGCCAACATAAAGGAATCTCGACCACTGAGAATCCTCATGCGGTGTGGATGTGGCTTGCTACCTATTTATTATAACAGGAGAAGTATCACATCCCCTGTCCTTTGCGTTAGGGTACATCACTGAAGTAGGATCTCACGCCCCGCTTTAAATCAGTAGCAGTGTAATATAAATTGAACCAGATGGGTCGCAGAGCAAATGCATATTCTCAGGCCTCAAGACCTTTGAACGGGACTCCACCCTTCTACCCCTGCATTACGACCAAGATAGTTGCTGTAATCTTCAAACCAGTGTTTCACCATGACATATCAACAGAACTCCATGCGATAGGCAGGGAAGGAACTAGTCTTTTATGGGGTCTAGACAAAAAGACACTTAATGACTTGGAGGTAAAGGCGTAGTTCGTTTGGAATCACTATGCATAAGCTGTCTGATGTACCATTAGCAAGTAATCGACTTCGATTCGCAAGTCATAATGCTATTATTTCATAGCTTAGCAGCTGAGGCAATGAGACGAACGGATTCCAGAGTACATGCATGTTGACTGCTTGAGCTACCGTTTTTAAACTTCAAAAGTAAGCGCGTCTCCCTTCACTTAGTCTACCTTGTGTAGCACTTCTCCTCTGACGTTAGCTTCGTCGTGCCGTACCCTCCATTCTACGATCAAGGGAAGTAAGTCTTGGTCTGAAAATATCGAGTCAGCAGCCCTTTCCTTTAAGCTAACAATGCGCGCATTAGATTAACAGGGGCCTATTTGTCGAAGTCCCGAACTATGAACACCGTTACAGCCTACCGACGTTCAACTCTTATGCTAGAGGGTGGAGGTCAAAGCGACCTCAGCAATCGGGCTATCGATAGACGACAAACATTCGAACCAATCGACTGGCCGGCATTTAAGGAGAAGTGCGAGCTGGAGCGGAATCGGACAGCAACTTCCGACGAATTTTCCGAATTTTATCTAGAGCCCGAATACGTTGGGTTCTTAGAAGGCCTAAGGAGAATATGTACGGTTTTCCCGTATACGGACGCACAGTGGATAGTGGCGGTCTTATTCTTCGCCGGGAGTATATCATTTATCGTCAGCTCCTCTTTCAAGCTACTACCAGTTATCCTTCCCGAAACGGCCTCTGGTGGCGAGACGCGTCTTGGGTTTTCGGTTGCTGTTACAACTGGTGCAGTTATATTCCTCCTCGGTGGCAGCTTGGCAATATTCGCTGCTTTCAACTCAAACCGGAGCTCTGATAGTGACGGCCGATTAAACAAAGAAGAAAATCAGCCATCGACGACCAAATACTTTCCGCCTCTGCTGGGGAAGAAAGAGTGGATTTGGTGGCCGCCTTGGGCAGAATTCAAATCCCTTTACCTGCCGAACCCAGCCTTCCAGGCGGGTCTCATCTCAGTTGTCGGGGGCGTGATCCTGAATAGCTCAGCGATAGCTGGTTTTCCCAGTATACTCGGCGATCCTTCTTCACCCGACTTCCCCTCAAAACTCCAAAACGCTGTCCTTCTCCCTCTGGTTATTGGCGGGGCATGCCTTGCTGCCGGGAGTTTACGGTTAATTATACTGGCCCAAACGAGCTGGTATAAGCCCGCTATCTTGTCACTGGCTTGGCATGCCTCATTCTGGAATATGGTTGGCGCAATATCGCTGTCTTTGTCTGGCATATTTACTCTGCTGACCCCAGGAGAACCTCTCATGTCTGCGATTGCGTTTACTTCCGCTACCTGGTTGTTCTTGCTTGCTTCGTATCTTCATTGGCATATGATTATGGCATTTTATCCCAGATGAAACCACGCAGAGTCGCAGACTGCATCTGTGGCGAAGCCGGCTAATAATAGCCGCATATTTTGCAGCCTCGAAAAACAAGAGATCGGTTTAATTAGTTCGAGAAGGCCTCTTGTTCGTCCGGTCACGAGGTAACTGTATGGGCTTTCTTATGTGTTCTACTAGTGTTTCGATCCTAAGGTATGTCGGAAATTGGATGACGACCTTGATTGCAGGTATCCGGTAAAGGGGGTGGACAACCGCGGGAAGCTCAGTGGGCGCAATCAAACCCGTCATTCATTCCGTCACCCCGTAGTTTCAACACAACTCTGGTGCAAAGCCTTCTTGGCTACGTCTTGATACCTCTTTCCGATGGTTTTCTTTATCCCCTTAACTTTCTGGTGCATGGCTGGAGTCTTGCTATTTACCGGGTCTGCTTCAAGGTTCGAAGCAAATTCTTTGCTCAACAATCCTGGGCTAGGAGTGCGGCAGTGCGACATCCGTCTGCATTTTTGGCTTCTCGTCTCATTTCTTTGTGACCCCCTTTAGGATCCGTCGTATCGTGGTTCATTCCTGACAGTAGGTCTGACGTTGCCGCGAGATTCTCATATGGCCCCCCAGTCTTTTCTATCGAAGCTGCAAGGCTGGCATTCGATCCGAAAAGGTAAATACGAAGAGGGAAATAGCGATCTTCGAAGTGGATTTCATCTTGAAGACTCTCAAATTCTGCGGAACAAAGAGAACGTTGACAAAAAGAACTTTCAGTGTGTTTTGACCATGGCCGTAGACAGACATGCGACAGCGGCCGTGGCGTGGATATTTCCTTTGCGTCCATCCTCGGAGGTGATCTAGGACCTTGGATCAAAGGACCTTATCTTCCCACGTCCGTTAGTTCTTCAGCGCTTTGTTAATTTTGACCCTCTCCTCTTTTCTCTCTACCGTGCTCCTTTTCCAGCTTCTTTCCCTTCTTTGCCTCACGTTCCTTGTGAGAGAAGGTCATATTAGGAAATCTTCCCTCGTGTATATAGAGCGATCAAGCAAGGTGGAAGAAATAAGCTCACAGCTAAGGGCCTTGCACTTTTCTGGTTCTTTTTTTTTATTTCTCTCCCTATCCAGCCAGCTCTTGTGCCAGCTGGGCCTTCGTCTGGCCAGCTTCAGAGTGGAGACCAATGAGTCTGGAAAAGTTCGACAGTCATAATATAACGGAATGAATTTCAATCAACCATTGGAGAGCTGCATTTATTGGAAAGCTAGATCAGAACAGATCATGACATGCTGGGGGACGCTGTGTTCGAGCTTCGAAATCGGAGGGAAGCCATTCATTCACCCAGCAATTTCACAAGATACCATTCGAAGACATGTTGCGAAATTTTCCGTCTAGTTCTGGCTTAGACTGGAGCCAGATATGATTTGATTGGTTTGACGACAGCGCTGCCTTGGGCTGCCCGCGTAGCTCATTGTAGCTGTAGGTTCTTGAAACTCACAGCAATGATGAGGCGGAGAGGCCGGCTTGACTTCACAGTCATTGGCGAAGTGGTCATCTGCGCCACATATAATGGCCTCGAGAAAGAAATGCGATGCCCCGGCAGATCGATGATAGGGGCGCTTGTCCGCCATAGTTAAGGTCGAGAGAATGGTTGAATGACGACGCCACAGCTAGCTTGATTGTGGCGAGTGTCTTAGTACTATATTCGCTGTGGCTGGTTGGAATCCACAGGCCGTTTCTCCGGCAATGACATGCACTGACAGGTTGTAAACAATATACCAGACGCATAAAGCCGGTTACCTAAGCTAAGTATCGAGTACCCGGCATCGGCATCGTCTCTGGTTACCTATACCTTGTGTCCTGGCAAACGACTTGAGCCACTTCAACTGTCGAAACCAGAGAAAAGATGCCGATTGTCAGTAGGTGTTTGCAAGTGGCAACCAACGGCTCTGGACTCCGTCTCTTCGGGGTGGGAAGGAGCGCAGTCTCTGTCAGGTACGCGTTGGCTCGGCGCTCTCCCATCATGCTGCTGTATCGGTACTTAGGTAGTGCTCCATATATCCTGTCAATCCGTGACACTCGCAACAGAGACTGACCTCCACTTGCTTCTTCTTCTGCCCTTTTCACCGCGTCACTGCTGCACGAGAATATCCCGTTTCTTTTTGCAAGTTGGTCTCGCCCGCCCGCAGTGACTCCTTGCTGGCACATTTGGCTGCGCTAACTGCCGAGCCGCCTCAGCTTACCCTTTCGGGCATAGCACCAGCTCCAACCTCGAGATTAGGTACCAAATACAACCAGCCAGTCCTTCACCATCATCACCACCACCACCGCACAGCGCCGCGTCTGTTGATCCTGCCTACCTTCATCGCCTCCTTGCCTGTTCTTGCCTGCGTCTTCAAGCCCCTCGCAGAGCCGCCGCCTTCGCATTTCCGCCCAGTGTCTCGCCTCCAAGGGGACGCACCAGGCTCTCGACTCGCGGCAGGACGAGCCCAAGAGCCTTGGAAGAGTCGTTGCCCAAGGTCTTTTTGCCAGTCTCTTCACCAGGCCATCCCGCAATCTGACGCTCGGCTCGCTTGATCTCTCTCGGTATGTACTTCATCATACTTCCCTCCACAGGCCCAACGTCGACGATCCCCTCTGGTCGTCTGGGGCCCGGCGTGCGCTGCGCCATGGAGAGGCGGCACCGACTTCGGCCCGTCCACAAGCTGATTAGCAAGGTGGCCAGGCTAGTTACAGTCGCTTCTCCCAAGCGACGCCCCAGCTTTTGCCACGAGGCATCGAGCTCGACGACAAAGTCCGACTTCGATTGCTCCGTCTTCGCCATGGCTGACGACGAAGACTTGGCCTCTCTGCCGTGGCCCGATCGCTTCACCCACAAGGTACGTCGCCCTGCCTGTCATCGCCCTCATTGCGGATGAAATATGCTGATGCCGCCGTATAGCTTTGGAAAGTCAGAAAGGAGGCCTATGAGGCTGCGGCCAAGCAGTTTTCCGAATCTCCCGACGAGTCCGACCCATGCTTTCGCCCCTTCCTCAACGAACCTCACCTATGGAAGTCTGCCGTGACCGACTCCAATGTTGCCGCTCAGCAAGAGGCTGTTGTCGCCCTTTGCGCCTTTCTCAAGTTTGGCGGACAAGACTGCGCCCTGCGCACCCGCGCCCTGACCATAACGCCCATGGTGGAGAAGTGCCTGTCGTCCGCAAGGGCTGCCATCAAGCAAAATGCGCTCGAGGCCATCCTACTGTACATCGAGCTTGACGTGGCCGCTCCTGTTGTCGAGGACGTCATGCCCGGCCTTTCCAACAAGGTGCCCAAGAACGTTGCCGCCACCCTGAATGCACTGGCCGCCATCGTCCGCAGCTTCGGCTGCAAGGTGGTGGATCCCAAGCCCGTCCTCAAGGTGCTGCCCAAAGTCTTTGGTGCCGCCGACAAGAACGTGCGCGCCGAGGCGACAAGCCTCACCGTTGAGCTGTACCGCTGGCTCCGCGAAGCCATGAAGCCCATGTTCTGGGGAGACCTCAAACCGACTCAGCAGTCCGACTTGGAAGCCCAGTTCGAAAAGATCAAGGCTGAGCCCCCGCCAAAGCAGGAAAGGCTGCTGCGCTCCCAGCAGGCTGCCTCAGAAGCCGCTCCCGCCGCAGGCGCCGACGATGTCGAGGCACCCGAGGACGAGCAGGACAATGGCGCAGAGGTCGACGCCTTCTCCCTCGCCGAACCCCAAGACATTTCCAAGAAGATCCCCCCCAACTTCAGCGACATGCTGGCGTCTTCGAAATGGAAAGACCGCAAGGAGGCTGTCGAGGCGCTCGCGCAGGCCATCAACGTGCCTCGCATCAAAGACAGCGACTTCCATGAGGTCAACAGGGGCCTGGCCAAGTGTATGAAGGACGCAAACGTTGCCGTCGTCACCCAGGCTGCCCAGTGCATCGAGCTGCTGGCCAGGGGCCTGCGTGAAGCATTTGGCAAGTACCGAGCCGTCGTCATGCAGCCGATCATGGATCGGCTGAAGGAGAAGAAGGCATCCGTCGCCGATGCTCTTGGCGCAGCCCTCGATGCCGTCTTTGAGGCCACCAGCCTGACCGACTGTCTTGAAGACATCATCGCCTACCTAGGCAACAAGAATCCTCAGGTCAAAGAGGGTACCATGAAGTTTCTCATTCGCTGTCTACAAACGACGCGCGATGTCCCCAGCAAACCCGAAATAGCGTCCATCTGCGAGTCTGGCAAGAAGCTGCTGTCGGAATCGAGCCCTGCCCTGCGAGATGGCGGCGCCGAGATTCTTGGGACCGTTATGAAGATCATCGGCGAGCGAGCCATGACGCCATACCTGGATGGCCTCGACGACATTCGGAAGAACAAGGTCAAGGAGTACTTTGAGACGGCTGAGGTCAAGGCCAAGGAGAAGCCCAAGCCCGCACCAGCTCCGAAGGCTCCGCCGCCTTCGGCAAAGAAACTCCTCGGTGCCAAAAAGCCAGCCGTCAAGAAGGCTGCACCACTCGCTTCGGCAGCCGAATCGAGTCCCCTTGCCCCGCAACCAACGCCCAGAGCAACCGCGGCGGGAAGCAAATTAGGCATGCCCAAATCCTCTGGGCTTGCCGGCCTCAAGGCTCCACAGAAGAGAACCCTCGGTGCTCCTGGCACGGCCTCCCCTCGCCGGGCCGCGGCTGGCCCCCCCGTTATGCCGGCCGATGACGAGCCTGCACCGCCTTCCGTTCAGCCCCGCGCTGGTCTGCCAAGGGGTCTCACCGGCCGTTCGTTGGCGAAACCGGCGCCGCCGCCCACTCAGCCCCTGCCGGAGACTCCCGTCGCGTCGAGCGGCTTCACTGCCATTGAGAGAGCCGAGCTGGAAGAGCTCCGGGCCTCGAACGAGCGGCTCAATCGCCAATTGGACGACGTGCGCCAGGAGCGAAGCAAGTTCATGTCTGAGATCCAAGAACTGAAGAACCAGAACGCCGGCCTGATTGAAGATCACACACGTGATGTCTTGAGCATCAAGGCGAAGGAGACGCAGCTTGTTCGTGCGCGCAGTGACGCAGAGGCGACAGAGCAGGTCAATGAGAGGCTGAGGCGGGAGCTGGAGCGCTTGAAGAGAGCGCTGAGCCGCGCCGAAGGACTCGGTGTCTCGTCAGGCATGGCAAGTCCAGGTAAGTTTTAACAGTCCATCATGACAGTCGCTGCGGTGCCAAGATTGCTGAAACTCGTCGCCAGTCATCATGTCGCCTACCCACGACGACGCTGGCATCTACAGGGATCCCGGATCCGCGTCGGCCAACCGTAACCGCGTCAGCTTCACGAGCACGTTTTCTGAGGAGAAGGAAAATGGAGAAGCGGTTTATCCGAGAAACAAACTGAGCCCAGATGTGCGGTTTACCGGGAGCGCTGCGTCGTCGGGGCGGGGGTCCCCTGCCAGGGGTTTCCGGAGCGCCCCGTTCCCGCAAGAAGACGGCGACTCGGGCACCGGCATGACGAGAGAGCGTCCTACCTCGTCCCTTCCGCAGCCCTCTGGCAGCGGTGGTGTAGAGAGCTGGAAGAGAGCCGCCGAAGTGACAAGTCAGTTGAAGGCTCGAATCGAGCAGATGAAGGTACGCATTCCTACCAAGGCCGAGACCACTGAGACTGACAAAGCGCATAAAGGCAAAGCAGGGTTTCGCTCGACCATGAAGTCTAGCCCTCCAGGCAAGAGGAGAGGAGAGACGGCAGAATGATTTTAGATTATTTCGTTGACTTCGGTTTGCTTGATAATGGCATATGGGCTGGCACAGCGCGACACGCTTGGAGCGACAATGAAGCTATGGAGGATATCAGTGCATTTGCTAGGGCGTTGGGAACATACCCCCCATTTCTTCAGCGTTTGCTTCAGGGAGCAGTGATGGTGAGGGGAAGGAGAGGAATGGTCAGGGATGATGCGGCGGTTGTGTTATTTGTACGAGGTAGACGGCGGCTATGCAGACTTGCGTCAAATAGCTTGCCGGGCTTCGAAATTGGGTTCTCGTTGTGCGGACACGACGTTTTCAGTCATCTTAATGACATGGCAGTACGGGTTTAGTAGTTTTCATGAGCTTCAGCGGTGGTTCTTGACGGTGCTCCCTGTTGCCGTTCATTGCTCATGTCCCAAGATGGGGCGGACAGTGATAGAGCATCGCAGTGTAAGGGCACACGACGAGCCGGATCATTGTGACGGAGACGTCGATGTGCATCTGCTCGTATGATCAGAGTTTATTAAATCCGGAAACCGCACTGCTTGCTGAAAGAAGCCCTACCCTACCACCAAAGACAGCCAAACAAAGGGGAAAAGTCACAGTGGCTTCTAAAAGACGTAGGTAGGACCTTAGCCTTGTGAAACGGCTGTCGTGAAAAGGCTGGCTGGCCCTGCTCAAACGCCATTCGATCTGGGAAATTCTCCGCGCCATGGCAGTGAAAGTGCGGCGTTGGCCCCCTATTTCTTTGCGTCCTTTTCTTTCTTGTCGCTGCCTTGACTCTTGGGCTCGTCGTTGCCCTTGTCGCCTGCCTTTTTGCCCTGCTTCTCGTCGCTTTTGTCCTCGTTCTCGCCGCTCTTGTCCTCGTTCTCGCCATCCTTGTCATCATCATTTTGCGCGTCATCTTTCGTGTCATCTTGCTGTCCGTCGCCGCCCTTCTGGCCACTCGCCTCACTCTTATTGTCCTTGGCCTCTTTATTCTTTCCCTCCTTTCTCTCTGCGCCCTTGCCGTCGCCCTTCATCTCTGCCTTTTTCCTGGCCGCCGCCTCCTTCTTTGCCTTTTTCTCCGCCTCCTCCTTTTCCTTCCGAATCCTCTCCTTCTCCTCGGCCTCGAGCTTGGTCCAGTCCGTGTCGTGGTCCGCAATGCCCGGGGCGGACATGCTGGAGCTCAGGCCCTGCGTGGTTAGACGGCCGTGCGTGCTAATCTTGGCACGTCCGACGAGGGAGACTAGGATGGCGAGACCGACCATGGCCGTGAGCAGGAAGCGATAGATGCCGTACCAGGGAGGCGCCCAGCCACGGACGGCGGCCCGCGAGTCGACAAAGTAGAGGGCGACAAAGGCCATGAATTGGGTCGTCAGGGCATACTCGATGGGCATGAGGAGGGTGGGCCAGGCGACGACGGATGCCATGACTCCGATGCCGTAGCGAAAGCGGGTGCGTTCCAGCAACGGCGCCTTTTCGGCATATTCCAGTCCCTACGAGAAGCCACGTCAGTCGGTCCGTTGAGCCAAAGTCAGCAATGACGCCGCCTCCCTACCCAGTGGATTGCGCCGAGGAAGGAGATGATGACGGCTCCGTAACCGAGCTGCAAGGGCTCGATGACGTTGAGAAGGCATTGCGCCGTCTCGTGGTTGACGAAGATGGCGTCGTAAAAGGCATTGCCCGTGGGCAGTTCCTTGTTGAGATCCCAGGCCAGGAAGACGGTGGAGAGAGAGGTGGCCAGGTACGGCAGGCTGCCGGCGAGGCCAAGGATGTGAGATTCTCGGGGAACTCGAGAAAGACGGAACGTGTTATGGACGATGTCCTGTTGCATGATCAGCATGCGCAACGGTTGGTTGGTCGTGGGCGGCTCTCTACAATGTCATGTTTGAGTCCTTGGCCCAGGTCGGCGTCGTCTCTGCCTTGCGAACCCTCCATTACATGGCGCACCGAGCTTTGACCCGAAACCTCGGCGGGACGGGCCTCGAGTGTCCTTTGGCCCAGCTCCTTCTCACGATCGCGGTCAATTGGCTGCTTGGGCGGAGGGGGGGTTGATTTGTCGCTGCTGCTGGCGAAGCGAGCTACGGGGACCGACCACGGCAGAGGTGACGAGGCGGCTGGAGGACATGGTCTGGGCAGGGAGCGAGAGGGCAATGGAGAGGCCCGCGGGGCGAGGCGGAGGAGGGAACGCGAGGCTCGAAACATGGCGGACTCGAGGTCGGATCACCGAGGCGCCAATACGAGACAGCTCGACCTTGGGGAGGAAGAAGCGTATTTCTGCAGGTGGTGGGAGAGCAGGCTTTGACTGACGTCAGACGGCGCGGGAGGGGGGTTGGGAGAGCACAAGAAGGGAGGGATAAGAGGTATGCTACAGTACTGTAGTACCGTAACTTACACCGGCCAGGAACCGGGTGGGCGGCTGGTAAAAAAATGCTGAGCATTAACCTTGAAAGGCGGCATACGTATGTATGCCATCATCGCACCGTAGTCGAAGGGTTGGGACAGCCGGCTTTGCTGGTACAGTAGACGCCAGGTACAGGCAAGTACCGATGCATCTCACTCTGGGCCTGCAGGTGGGCTTCGGCTGCCACCTGCCATCTCTCGGATGCTGGGCTCAAGACAATGGCAGTCGGAAGGCTTGGGGGATTGGGAGTCCAATGACGTCATGGGGCCCATCGACCTTGACGGTGGGAGCTTGTCGAGACTTGGCCGTTCGCGATTGCGAGTGGAAGACTCTCCTTGAGCTACCAGAGACCGGTCCCTCGAGATGGAAACGTGCCAAAGCTAGCTTCCTCTGCCGGTAGATTAATTAAACAAAGCCATAGCTTAATAGTAGTGGCTGGCTGAAGTCAATCGCCCTTGAGCTTGTTTCAACCAGCATTTGAAACGAAACCCTTCAGCATTCATACGTCACCACGGCTCACTCACTCCCCGAGCAACAATTCACCACGAACCATCAACGCCTTCTCATCAGCCAACATCCACAAACATGTCCAACAAGCCCATCTGCGACTGCGACACCCCGGATCCGTGGATCGTCGCCGCCAACAGCCAGTTCTACTTGACCTTCACCCTCGGCAACCGAGTCGAGATCTGGGCCTCGCCGCACCTGGAAAACTTTCACAACTGCCGCAAATCCGTCATCTGGCAGCCTCCTCCGGGCTCGCCCTGGTCCGCCGACATCTGGGCGCCTGAGCTTCACTACCTCAAGGGGAAATGGTACATTTACACCTGCGGCGCTCCGCCCGACGTCGGAAACCCCGGCCACAGGACTCTGGTGCTCGAGTCTTCCAAGCCGGACCCCATGGACCCGACCGGTTGGCGGTTCCTCGGCCCTCTGAAAGGAATGCCCCATCACTGGCAAATCGACGCCACCGTCTTTAGCACCAACGGCCACGATCTCTACTGCTGCTGGAGCGGTTGGCCCCCCGGCGACGACAGCGATACACAGCAAGACCTGTTTCTTATAAAGATGGCCGGCCCTGCCGAGGCCGTTGAGGGCTCCATGGTCTGCATCTGCCGCGCCGATCAGCCATGGGAACGCCCCGACGGCGGAAAGCGCGGCGTCGCCGAAGGTCCGACGTGGGTCGACTTCCCCGGCTTCAGAGGCATCGTCTACTCGGCCCACGGCAGTTGGACGAGCGAGTACACGCTGGGTCTGCTGGCTTTGGCCGGCCAGGACCCGCTGCGTCCCGAGTCGTGGTCCAAGCGACCGGCGCCCCTGCTCAAGAGCAACCAGAAACACGGAGGGCCCTTTGGCCCGGGTCACGCGAGTTTCCTGCCGAGTCCGTACAACGACGGCCGCATATTCTGCGTCTACCACGCGACGGCAGACTATGGCCAAGGATGGGACAACAGAAAGGCACGCGTGTTGAGTATGGATCCACACATGTTTGGGCCACACTGCGCGCCCATCTGCTGCCACTGCGGGAGTGCTCCGACGGCCGGACATGGCGGTGGTCAGACGAAGCAGAAGTTTGACCAGATGCTGAACAAGGCTCCTCCGCAAGTCCAAGGCCTTCTTGGCAAAGTCAAGAAGTTTCTCTGATGAAGCTGTTTACTGCCTTTACAAGGCAAGGAAATAAGTATACGAGGTACATACATATAGATGAACATATATATATATATATTGTGGCACATGCGCTCGAATAGCGATATATTTTCAAAGCATTCACGTTGGATATGACCTCGTTTCGTCTTCATTTCCTGTTTCTTATCCCCTACTGCCGATTGCCGTTCAAGTCTAGGGTAGCGCTCCGGGTTGATGGCCACTCCACATGCCCTCGCCATGCCGGTAAAGATGCATCTTGTCAGGCCCCACCGCCGCCAGCTGCAGCGAAGTCAAGTGGCTGATGCAACGGCCGGTTATCGATTTATTTACCTAAAAATGTACAGTACGAAGGAGGTTCTTTGCCGCGGTGCTCCCGTCTTTAGCCAGGCTGCAGCTGCTTCCTTGCTTGACGCTGCCTTACGTCACACACTTGCTCTGTGCTCCCAAACAAGAAAAGGCACTGCCTGCAGATAGAAAGGTACATCAGCGTACTGGCTGCACCGCGTCTAGGGCAGGTACCTCGGTATGGGCACTTGATGGACCCCTCCGCAGAGCTGGGGTAACTGATCCAATCCTTCCTTCTTCCAAGGCTCACGCTGTCCATTTGTACATACATTCAGCAATCAGGCACAGAAAGCGTTGGGGTTTGCTTGTTTCCATACTCTCTCTGCACTCGACTGTCCTCGCCGTGCGCCAGCTCCCCCCCCGACGTGAGCTCGTCCACCTACGGTCCGCAGCTTGAAACCCCTCCCGCCTCCTCGCTGTGACCGAGCGCACTCGACGACGACGACGACGACGACGACGAAGACATACAATTTCAATCACCCACGACTTGTGTCGGACGCAGCATCAACCACGAGTGTCGGATACAGCTCCTTCCCACGACTGTGACGCGCGGCGCGCCCGCCCGCCGACCGATGTTGCCCCTCTGAGCACCGAACCGCACCCTCGAACCCCGTTTTCCCGGCCCGGGTCACGGCACCACCGCCGTCGCCATGTTGGAAGGACTTGCGGCCGGCCTACTCAACCGCTTCCTGGGCATGTACGTCCAGAACTTTGATCCAACACAGCTCAAAGTAGGCATCTGGTCCGGCGATGTCAAGCTGCGCAACCTTGAGCTCCGCCGCGAAGCCCTCGACCAGCTCAAGCTGCCAATCAACGTCGTCGAGGGCCACCTCGGCGAGCTTACCCTCGCCATCCCTTGGTCCAACCTGCGCGGCGCCCCGGTCAAGGTCCTCATCGAGGATGTCTTCCTGCTTGCCAGCCCCAAGGAGGAGGCCGAATACGACGAGGACGAAGAGGAACGGAGGGGACAGCGGCTCAAGATGGAGAAGCTCGACAGCGCCGAGCTGCTCAAGGAGAAAAACAGAGAAGGCATGAGCCAGGAGGAGCAGCAGAAGAACCAAAGCTTCACCCAAAGCCTCGTCACCAAGATTATCGACAACCTTCAAGTCACTGTCAAGAACATCCACGTCCGATACGAGGACTCCATCTCGGCTCCCGGCCACCCATTTGCCTTGGGCCTGACGCTCGAGGAATTCTCCGCCGTCAGCACCGATGGCCAATGGAAGCCGACCTTCATCCAGCACTCAACGTCCGTCACGCATAAGCTGGCCACCTTGGGCGCGCTGGCCGTGTACTGGAACACAGATACCGAACTCTTCGGGAGCGGTCGCGAGGCTGCGCCATCCTCCCCCGAGCTCATATCTCATGAAGACATGATAGCCAAGTTCAGGAGTCTAATCAGCAGGACCAGCGCCTCCTCCTCCAACCACCAGTTCATTCTGAAACCCGTCAGTGGACAGGCCAAGATCGAGCTCAGCAAGTCCGGCGACATCCGCGTACCAAGGTTCAAGGCAAACCTACTGTTTGAGGAAATCGGTCTGGTGCTCGACGATGACCAGTATCGCGACGCGTTGATGATGGTGGACCTGTTTCACTACTTCATCCGGCACCAGGAATACAAGGCGCTCAAGCCCAAGGGCGTCCGCCCGGACCAAGATCCCCGCGCTTGGTTCCAATTCGCAGGCAATGCCGTGCTGGGTGAGATTCACGAAAGGAACCAAAAGTGGACCTGGGACTACTTCAGGGAGCGGCGCGACGACCGAATTCGATACATTCAACTCTTCAAAAAGCAGAAGCAGGAGCAGCAGCTGTCTGCGACGGAAAACGAAGATCTTGCGAGGCTCGAGTGGAAACTGAACTACGAGGACTTGCGGTTCTGGCGATCCCTGGCTCGCAATCAGCTCAAGAAGGAAAACGCCGAGGCGTTGAAGAAGCAGACGCAGCAGCACGAGGAGCAGGGTTGGCTGGCGTGGATGTGGGGCTCCAAACCCCAGGGCAAGATTGAGAAGAATGAAGAGAACACGCAGATGACTGAGGAACAGCGAAAGGAGCTGTATGACATGATTGACTGGGATGAAAAGTCGGCCCTGGCCGAGTCGGTTGACGTTCCTCGCGAAGCCGTCAAGTTGTGCGTCGAGGCTTCCCTGAGCACCGGAAGCTTTACGCTCAAGCAGAGCCCCCATGGAAAGGCAAGAGACCTCCTGAGCTTGCACTTTGACGTTTTCAAGGCCAAGGCCCTGCAGCGAAAGGACTCATTGCTTGCCAACGTGAGCCTTGGAGGATTGCGAGTCAACGACGGCACCACACCCAACAGTCTATATCCCGAGATTGTGCGGGTCAAAGATGCCCCCGGGAAAGACGGGCGCAAACGATTGTCCTTGCTCGAGCTGGAAAACAGCAGTGACGAACCCTTTTTCCAGTTCGAGGTCGAGAAGAACCCCATTGAGCGCGAGGGCGACATCGCAGTTGTCGGCAAGCTTAAACCTCTCGAAATAGTCTGGAACCCCAACTTCGTCGTCGGCATCGTCGACTTTTTCAGGCCCCCCGAGAGACACATGGAGTCCATCACTGCATTGATGGAGAGTGCTGGTGCCACCGTCGAGGGCTTCAGGGAGCAGACCCGCGCTGGGCTGGAGTTTGCGCTGGAGGAGCACAGAACCGTCAATGCCAAGCTGGATCTGCAAGCGCCGCTCATCATAGTTCCCGTCAGCATCACCACAAGAGAATCTACCTGCATTATTGTCGACGCGGGCCATATCCATGTCAACAGCCAGCTGGTGGACCAGGACACCATGAAGGAGATTCAGTCGAAGCAGCGACAGTCATACAGTGACGAGGACTTCAAGCGGTTGGAGTCGGTCATGTACGACAAGTTCATCGTCAAGCTCACCTCCACCCAGGTTCTCATTGGGCCTTCCATCGAGGAGACAAAGGCGCAGCTGACAGTGAAGGGCGAGGGCTCTTCGCTGCACGTTGTCGAGCAGATCAACGTCGACTTTGTCGTGGAGACTTCAATCTTGCCCAAAGCCCCCAATCTGACCAAGTTCCGGGTATCTGGCCATTTGCCGATGCTGCATGCCACGGTATCCGACTCCAAATACAAGAACTTGATGAGGATCATCGACGTGGCCATACCCAAGATCGGACAAGAGGAACAGCCTGAAGTTGCACCCCAAGAACGTCCCAGGCTGTCCCCGCGGCCACGCCTCGCTAGCAGCGCGTCGAATAGGTCACGGCGGAAATCTCAGCGCGAGCGTCGGCAGTCCTCGGCTTTTCCGTTCCTGCAGCCACATACCGCCGTCATTCTCAATGACATGGACGACGACGACGATGACGACGACGACGACTTTGAGGATGCCACGGACGGCGTGGACTCGCAGCAGCTCAAGATACAGCAGCGGAACTTCGAGTTCAAGTTCAAGGTGGATACTCTCAAGGGCTCGCTTTACCGGAGTGATCCGGACAGGAAGAAGCCCGACGCCTTGTTGGTCGAACTGGTGGCTGAGCGATTCGATCTCGAATTCTACACAAGACCCTACGACATGGTCGCGGAAGTGTCGCTTGGGTCCGTGTTCGTGGAGGACTTTGTCGACGACCCACCGGGCGAGTTCAAGTCAATCGTCTCGTCGGGAGACAGTGAAGACTTGCAAGCAGAACGGAGCCTTGTTCATGTCAAGTACATGAAGGTCAAGCGGCAGTCACCGGAATTCATGCCCGTGTACGAGGGAGTTGAAACAAACATCGGCGCCTCCGTATCAACCATCAATCTCGTTGTCACCAGAAAGACCCTCTTGACACTTCTTGACTTTATCCTCACCACATTCACCGGTGGCAACAATGACCAAGGACAGCAGGCAATTCCCGAGCCAGACGGCAACGATCAGGTCGAGGGCGAGATTGCAGTCTCGCCACCAGCAACCCAAAACGCCAACGCAGGCTCCATCAGGGTCAAAGTGGATCTCAAGGGCATCCGGCTCATTTTGAACAATGACGGCATACGGCTGGCGACGCTCTCCTTTAGTCATGCTAACGCTGGAATTTTCCTGCGCGGAGGCACTATGCGGATTTCCGTCAAGCTCGGCGATTTGTCTCTGGTTGACGATGTGAATCTGGGAGTGCCCAGGGACTCAAGTCTGCGCAAGCTCATCACTATTCAGGGCAACGAGCTCGCTGACTTCCGGTACGAGACGTTTGATGCGAATAACAAAAAGACATACCAGGGCCACGACAGCTCAATCTTCCTTCGGGCTGGGTCCGTCAAGGTCAACTTTGTTGAAGAGCCATTCCGCAAAATCATCGACTTCTTGGTCAAGTTTGGCAAGATGCAGGCTTTGTACAACGCCGCCCGCCAGGCTGCTGTGACTCGCGCAAATCAGATGCAGCAGAGTCCGAGCAAGATCAAGTTTGATGTCGTCGTGAAGACGCCCATTGTCGTCTTCCCGCGTCTCATGATCCCTGGCCGACCCAAACGTGACCTCGTCACGGCCTACCTCGGTGAGATTTACGCGCAGAACACGTTCGCTCCACTAGACGACGCGAAGAATGCCGACATTGCGATGAAAATTTCCGCTGGTATAAGAAATATTCGACTCACGTCAGACCTTTACTACGAGGACGAGCGGTCGGAAGAGCTGGAGATGATAGACCACGTGGATCTCGGATTTAACATCACCTACGCTGAGCACAAGAATGGCGCAAAACGTCCAGACATGGAAGTCGAGGGATCTTTGTCGGACATTAAGCTCAGACTGACGCAGCATCAACTCAAGTTCCTGATGGAAATTTCCAAGTCGGTCCCCGCTGCATTCGCTCGCGAGGGCGATGGCGGTGACGAAGAAGCCGCGCGGCTCGTCGATGAGGACACTCTGCAGCGTGCGAGAAGCATTCCAGCAGACGATGGCTCTAGTGACGCTGAGTTGGTCGACCTCTCTCCAGAGTTGAGGTCTGCAGAAAACACATGGACGAAGCTCGACCTCCTGTTTCGTGTCGACACCGTGGGCCTCGAGCTCATCATGGCAAAAGACGATGGGCCGGTCGGTGACTTAGCCGCGTCAAGCCTGTCGCGATTCTCACTCGACGACACCAGGATCAAGACTCGAATGTTATCCGACGGCTCCCTTGAAGCAGAGCTACTCATTCGCTCCTTCACCATCTACGACAGCCGTCCGAGGGAGACAAACAAGTTCCGCCGTATCATGACTTCCTCCAACAAGGAAGTCCAGCAGCTGATGGCCAGCGTCACCATGTCAGGCGGAAAGGAGCGCAGCATGATTGCAATGGCCACAATCGACAGCCCGCGCGTCATCTTTGCGCTGGACTACTTGTTTGCCATTCAGAAATTCGCGACGGAGGGCTTGACAGTGGAGGATGCCAGTCCGATGGACGATGAGAGTCTCGATGAGACCCCTGACGACTCCGACGCCGACTCGATGCAGGTCTCGTACACACACGCCAGGTCCGAGCGACCGAGGTCTCAGATATCTCGGCAGCGCGATGAATCAGGGTCCGACGAGACTCAGAAGCAGGATGATGAGCCTACGATGAGCATTGCTTATCGGGTGAACCTCGTCGATGCGCAAGTCATCCTCATCGCCGACCCTCTGAGTTCAAACTCCGAGGCGGTTGTCCTGGGCATTCGACAGGTGCTTCTTTCTCAGCAGCACGCGCTTACGTTCCAAGTCTCCGAAATAGGCATGTTTCTGTGTGTCATGGACAGGTTTGAGACGTCACGTCTCAGGATCATAGACGACTTTTCGATTCAGTTGAATATGGACAGCTCCCAGCCATCTCTGACAAATATCCACATTGAGGTTGAGCCGCTGGTGCTGAGGCTTTCCTTGAGAGACATCCTGTTGATACTCCAGATCGTCAGCAAAGCAGGCGAGCTCTCTGGGAAAGGGACAGAGGAGGCGGGGGAGACGGCTGCAGAGCAAAAAGCAAAGGAGTTGAGGAATGCCGGCATGAAGACCAGGACTGTAAGCGGCCGCGCACAATCTGCCGCCGCAAGGACAAAGGCGACCGGCAACACAGCTGCCAGAACTCCCGCGACATCGGCACAGAGCCAGCCTGCAGCCTCGCACAAGCACGAAGAGCTCTCTGCGACACTGCAGGGCATGCGAATCGTGTTGATCGGGGACCTGCACGAACTGCCAATTCTCGACATTGGAGTCAAGGGTTTCACCGCCACTTCGGAGAACTGGTCGTCGAACCTGAAAGCGGAGGCGGCTATCGACCTGTACTCGAATGTTTACAACTTCTCAAAGTCGAGCTGGGAACCTCTTTTGGAGCCCTGGCAAGTGGGCTTTGGAGTAGCCAGGGAGCCCACCTCTGGGCTAATGTCGGTCCACGTCGCCTCGAAAAAGACTTTTGATGTGACCATTACCACGGCAACGATTGCATTGGCGTCCAAGTCTTTCGACTTTTTGATGACCAAGGAGGACATTCTGGACAAGCCGCGCGGGGTCGACGCCCCATACCGCATCAAGAACTACACTGGCTTTGTGGCTATACTGCAGTCAAAGAGCCCGACCAGCGAAGAGCCCATTGCCATGCGTCTCGACGACGGAGAAGAAGAACCGTGGAGCTTCGAGGATTGGGAGAAGATGCGAGAGAATCTCATGACGGAGTCCAGCCAGAACGACGTGGCAATTAGGCTGGAAGGTAGCGGTTTCGATGCCGTGAAACAGGTGCGGCTGAATCGCGAAGGCGAGTCGCTATACAGCCTGCGACCGAAGACCGACAACGTGCTACATCGACTGTGTGTGGATGTCCGCCTTGGCCCTGATAACGTCAAGGAAGTCACGCTACGGTCGCCTTTGCTTGTCGAGAATGCGACCCAGATTCCCATCGAGCTCGGCATCTACGACGCGCAAGAAGGCCACCTCCTCAAGATCGAGAAGATTGCACCAGGTGACTCGCGACCGGCTCCCGTGGGTGCCGTTTTCGAAAAGAGAGCTCTCGTGCGTCCGGACGGGGGCTTCGGCTATTCCTGGAGCGTGGATCAGCTTTGGTGGAGAGACCTGCTTAAGCGACCGACGAAGCAGCTTGTGTGTAAAGGGGACGCCAGTGATCCATTCTACTTCCAGGCTCACGCCGAGTTTGACAAGTCCGATCCATTGTTCAAGTGAGTCTTGGCCCGAACTCTAGGCTGTATCAAATCCTAACAAACTCCAGGGTTTACCCTCGCATGAAGATCAAGCTCTCGGCCCCGGTCACTCTCGAAAACCTTTTGCCGTACGACTTTAAGTACAGAATCTACGACAAGAACACCAAGAAGGACTGGTCGAACTTTCTGCGCAAAGGCGGCGTGAGCCCTGTCCACGTGGTGGAGCTCTCCCACCTTCTGCTGCTGAGCATTGACATGCAAGACACCGTGTTCAAGCCGAGCGACTTTTCCATCATCAATCCTGGCAATGGCGAGGACTTCCGCAAGGAGAATCGCCTGGTGCTGAAAGACGACCAAGGGCTGACATTGAATCTGAGCCTTCACTACTTCAAGATTCCCAACAGCGGCGGCGCTTTCAAGATCACTGTTTACAGCCCGTATGTCATCCTGAACAAGACTGGACTCGACATGAGGATTCGGGCCAAGAGCTTCCTGCAGCAGGCCAAGGCGGCTGCCGGCCAGTTCCCTCCGGTCCATACCTCGGAACAAGAGCGGCCGAAGGCTCTGCCCTTTATGTTTTCCTTTGGGAACGATGATCATCGAAACCGAGCTCTGCTGAAGGTGGACGAGTCGGAGTGGAGCAAGCCGCAGAGCTTCGATGCCGTCGGGAGCACTTCAGAGGTCAAACTGAACTCATCCTCGAAACAGAAAGAGATTCACCTAGGCATCACGGTCAATTCTGGAGACGGCAAGTACAAGATGACCAAGGTCGTCACGCTCGCTCCACGGTTCGTGTTAGAGAACAAGCTGGGTGAGGAGATTTTTGTACGAGAGTCTAGTTCCTCGGGGTACATGACTCTCAAGCCCGGAGCACTGCAGCCCCTGCATTTCATGCAGAAGTCTGTGGTCAAGCAGCTTTGCCTGTGCTACCCAGGCGTCGACAATCACTGGACATCGCCGTTCAACATTGCCGACGTTGGGACGACGCACGTCAAGATGGCCAAGGCCGGCCAGCGCCAGCGCCTTGTCAGGGTGGAAATTCTCATCGAAGAGTCGACCATCTTCTTGCATATGAGTGTGGAAACCAAGAACTGGCCATACTCGATGCGCAACGAGAGCGACACCGAGTTTACATTCTACCAGGCAAACCCGAACATTGAAGACGACGATGTTGTAGACCGCAGCGGGTGGAAGCCCATTCGCTATCGCCTGCCCCCGAGGAGCATCATGCCCTACGCGTGGGACTTTCCGGCCGCCAAGTTCCGCGAGGTAGTCATTTCTACGAACAACAAGGAACGACACGTCCAGTTGGCAGAAATTGGCAACCAGATTCCCATGAAGTTTGTGACGCAGGGTGGCCAGCAGAAGATTATTGACATTAACGTTGCCGCCGACGGCCCCACGCAGACCCTCATTCTCAGTAACTTCCGGGCGAGCAAGAGCATGTATAAGCCCAGAACCTTGTCCAGGACGAGCACCGGCCTCGAGGCGTTTGAAGTCAAGGATCATGGAACGGGGGCGACATTCCTGGCGCAACTCAAGCTGTCTGGCATTGGCATATCGCTGATCAACGCCCAGCTCAAGGAACTGGCCTACATCACCTTCCGAGACGTGCAGCTGCGGTTCAGCGACTCGCCGATGATCCAGACGGTCTCTCTGGCGGTGAAGTGGATGCAGATTGACAATCAGCTGTACGGAGGTATCTTCCCCATGATTCTGTACCCGAGCGTGGTGCCCAAGAGGGCGAACGAGGTCGACGCCCATCCCTCGCTGCATGCCATGGTCAGCCGGGTCAAGGATGATTCGTACGGGGTGCTCTACATCAAGTATGCGACCATTTTACTGCAGCAGATGACGGTGGATCTGGACGAGGACTTTGTCTTTGCTCTGCTGGACTTTTCGGACATTCCCGGGGCCAGCTGGACGGCAGTGGAGGTGGAGGGCAAGCTGTGCGACGAGGACCTGGACATTCCCGAGCCGTCGCAGCAGCAGTCTGGGCAGGATATTTACTTTGAGGTGCTGAACATCCAGCCGATGCAGCTCGACCTGAGCTTTATGAGGACCGAGCGCGTCAACGCCGAGGACAAGACATCGACGCACAACCCCATCATGTTCTTCCTCAACGTCATGACGATGGCGATTGGCAACGTCAACGACGCGCCCATACGGTTCAACGCCCTGATGCTGGAAAATGTGCGAGTCTCGACCCCGGTGCTGATCCAGAACATCTCGAACCACTACAGCCAGGAGGTGATGTATCAGATTCACAAGATCCTGGGCTCCGCCGACTTCCTCGGCAACCCGGTCGGCCTCTTCGGCAACATCTCCTCGGGAGTGACGGACATTTTTTACGAGCCATACCAGGGACTCATTCTCTCGGATAAGCCAGAGGAGTTTGGCATCGGCATTGCCCGAGGCGCGGCATCCTTTGCCAAGAAGACGGTCTTTGGCTTCAGCGACAGCTTCTCCAAGTTCACCGGTAGCCTGAGCAAGGGACTGGCGGCGGCTTCGCTGGATAAGCAGTTCCAAGACAGGCGACGCATCACGAGGGCGCGAAACAGGCCAAAACACGCGCTCTACGGCGTCACGGCGGGCGCAAACTCACTATTTACGAGCGTCGCATCTGGCGTGGGAGGTCTGGCACGCAAGCCGCTGGAGGGCGCCGAGCAGGAGGGAGCTCTCGGGTTCTTCAAGGGGGTGGGCAAAGGTGTGTTGGGACTGGCGACGAAGCCGGCCGTGGGCGTGCTCGACATGGCAAGCAACGTCAGCGAGGGCATCCGCAACACGACGACGGTATTTGACGGGACGGAACTCGACCGCAGCAGGTTTCCGCGATTCATCCCCACGGACGGCATCGTGCGGCCGTACAACCCGCGGGAGGCGCTAGGTCAGTACTGGCTGAAGCAGGTGGACAATGGCAAGTACTTTGACGAGCAGTACATTGGCCACCTCGAGCTCCCCAAGGAAGACATGGTGGTCATGGTGACCTTTGCGCGGATCCTGTTGATCCGGTCGAAGCGGCTGACGAGCGAGTGGGACGTGCCGCTCAAGGACGTGCAGACGATTGCCAAGGAACGGACGGGTATGAGCCTGACGCTTAGGGGAGGGACGAACGGGCCGTTTATCCCGGTTGGGGGAGGCAGCGAGAGGAGTTTTCTCTACAAGATGATTGGGGTGGCGGTGGAGGAGTTTAACCGGCGGTATCGGGGCGGAGAGTGACGGCTGAATGGAGATTGCGAGACGACGTGTGACGAGCCTTGATTGATATGTGAAAGTTTCTTTTTTTTCTCCGCCTTTCTCTAAGGTGTTGATGAGATGGAGAGGGCGCACACAACGAAGGGACTGCTGAGGCACCGCGCCTTGGGGAGAGCAAGATGGGCGGTTTGCCACTTGGGGTACCCTTTCCGCAAGACGTCGGCCAAGTTGCGTGGGGAGGACTGGTTGAGCTTGCGTGGTGAAAGTAGCATGTACATTTTGGAGGCCAAAAACATGGGCGTGTTTTGTCTACGGAGCGCGGATGAGGCTGAGCTGAGGGTGAGAGTGTCTGCTAGATGGCAGTCTAGAAAAGGTCCGACTACGCCTCGCGTCTACATGGCATGCAAGGGGAGCCAACGGCAGGACGAGGAGCAACGATAGGCTGCGATTGAGTCGACGGTCAGCCACCAAGGTAATACTCGTGCACATGTAAATCAGGAGTCGACGGCTTGTTGGTTGGCTGACCCAAGCAGAGGTCGAGCCTTTGCGACTCGGTCCAGCCTCTTCTAGAATCCTGCACGAACAACGGGGGCAAGGGGGCGACTTCTCCAAGGGCATGACGACTCATTACTTGAGTTGGTAGGTACACATACAGGGCGGCTCGGCCCCGCCGCTGCTGCGTGTATCTCGTGGGGAACTTTTGGCTCCTCGTCGTGCGTCTCCGCGTTTTTGCTTGGCCCCCCCCATCCCTGCACTGGGGCAGCCACGTGCCCTTTTTCCGTTCCTGTCTCGCCCTCCCTCTCTCTCCCTCTCTCTCTCTCTCTCTCTCTTCTTCTCTCGCTCACTCTCCGAGGAGCGGCTTTCCCTCTGTTATGCGCTGTGTGGCTTGTGGCTGGACTGATGTGATGGACCGCGTCGGCTTGTTGGACATGAATTGAATCCGCCAGCCCCCTTTGGCTCGCCTCGACAAGGGAACAAACACGCAGGGCCAAGCATGAGGGCGAGATGCAGTGAAAATCAGAATAAAAATTGGGAAATACATAGTGTCCCTCTTCTGGTAGATCCGTTGCGGTCAGATGCAGGACCAAGAGTTTGTGTCGGCCGGCTCCGGTCCCCCCGCTTTCTCGGCGGTCGTTGGCGGCGATGCGGCTCCCCCGCGTTCCTCCCCCGCGTCCCGGGCGGTACAGCACGACAGTGGCCCCGTCTTCTGCCGTCTCTCTCTCTCTCTCTATTTCCTGCTACGGACACTCTTGGCACTGCATGTGTCTGTGAAGAAAGAAGTACTTGGTGTATGCTGACAGCAAGTTTTGCCTGGTCCATCGGCCGATACGGCGTGGCCCAGAACAACCACCCACACATTCATTAGCCGCATGTGTCTTACACAGACTACCACGAAGTACATGGATACGGTACTCCGTAGATACATAGACTAAATGCATACAGTACAGTAATTACAAGGGTGGCCGAGTGTTGGTTGAAGGCGGTGGTGTGGTGATGCGGGGGAGACAGAGCCGCCGAGAGATGGTGGCCCCCAGACGGCCATGTCCGAGACACCTCGCACACGCGCAGAGGCCAACCAACGGTGAGCATCTCAGCTTCTCCACCCCACCAGCACGCAGGTCCGCTCCCCCATCTGTTTTCTTTTTCCCCGCACGAAGCCTGTTGAGAAAAAAAAGACAGTTTGCCTCGTGCGATGTGAGAAGGAGAGAGTAAAGGCAGCATTGCCGCTGATTGTACAAAGTGGACGGAGTTGCTTCGATGGCTGGGCTTGTTCCAGCGGTGCCACCACAGAAGCTTGTCGTGCTGGAGCTTGTTTCCCCGGCTGTCACCTCGGTTTCTCAGACATTGTGACGTTGCGGGCGGCTTCTCCACTTGATGTCCGTAATGGTACTCTTACCCGCTGTTTCGAAACCTGAGGTTGCGGCTTGGACGAGTTGGCGTCGTGTTCATCGTCTTGCAAGTCGCGAGCACTGTATGTACAGATGCTTCCGTCGTCTTGGGCGTGGGCCGCTGAGGCGAATCGACATGCACGCGGGAACCTAGATGGTGAGCCAATGAAGCCGTGGCCTTTTTGTGATTTGCTTTTTGTTTGCGACGCCCTGCATGCCGGGGCAGCAATCCCACCTTGGGCCTAGGGCACGGAGACGGGGACTGAAGGAATGGGCCGTCGTTATCAGACATGTGGGATAGGGCCACGGATGATGAACCAATAAGCCACAAGGACAAGGGGCCATCAACGGTGGTGCCAAACTCTGATGGCAGAGGAATATATGCTTGCTTGATTCCACGGCACGGCACGGCACGGCACGGGCTCGCTCCGGACGGGCTCGGCTCGGGAGCGACGAGGCTCGCCACTTGTTTGCTTTATTAACGAAGAGGACTACATGTGCTGAGAGAGGTGGACGCCGCCAATTACCGTTGTGTGCTAACAGGAACCCGCTGGCTCGCCACCGGAGCAGTCGGTATCCCAAGGTGGCTGGTTGCCCAATGGGCAGTTGATGCTCCCGCCTGATGGGGGCTCGGGCCAGAGTGGGGAAGCGTGGTGGACTCGGGATGGTGCCGAGATGGTGAGCCCAAAGGCGGCGAAAAACGAAGAGGGCACGGGACCAGCAGTGGCCAGGGACAAGTACTACTGGTACAGTAATTATACCGGGCGCCGAAGATGGCAAAAAGTGTGCATGTTCCTTTTTTGTTTTTGCCGAGGCAATGCGAGCAAAAGCCAGTCTAACTTAGGGGTATTTATGACTAACAACAGGCCCAAGGAGAATTCCACGGGCTTGGCGTGCGGTGCGAAAGAACCTGTGCAGGGGGCGCGGGCGAGGTCGAGAGTACCGCGTAGCCGCGCTCTTGGCTGCGGGGCGCGAGGTAGCCGTGTCCTGTGGCCAATGGTACTTGCTATCTGGCGGCGGATTGGCCACAGCGTGCGGGCAGGGCAGTTGCAGGCAATTCAGCAGCATTTCGTGCGCGCCGAGGGACTAACTTGAGAGGCTAGTGAGGAAGGAAGCAGGACCACTGCAATGAGGAGGGACCATCAGGGGCAAAAAGGGGTACACAAGGCCCATCTTTTGGGGCGGCGAGATAGGGAGATACATAGACCTTGATCAACTTCTTGGTCTGGTCACGTATTTTCTGCTAGCTAGGTACATACAGTACTGTGTGCTGTGGTTGAAAAACGAGCCAACTCTGGCCAGAAACGGCCGGCGGACCCCTGCTTCGCTGGCGGGCCCGCTGAAAAAGAAAAGGCCCCGCTGAAGAGGAGGAGAAGCCGCTGTAAAAGAGAAGCCCCCCCCCGGCTGAGAGATGGCCCGGTGGAGCAGGGATACAGGGGTCCCCCTCCCCGGTCTCCACTGGCCCCCTGTCTCTCCTGTCGTGCAGCTTCTTCTTCTTCTCCACAGAAGCTCTGGCTTGATTTTATCGCCTCTTCGCAATGGCGGCCTGCCCGCCGCTGGTCGATACAAAAGGTCCCTCGGCTGGCTTCGTGTCCTGCCGCACCGCTTCTCGGGGCGTCGCCTCCCCCCGTCCCCCGTGTGCCCTCGACCCCGTTCCTCGCTTGCCGCGTTGTTCGCCTCGTCGTCTTCGTTTTTCCTCTTCTTTTTTTTAATATTTCTTCCTCGTGCCCACCGTCCACCATTACCAGGGCGGACCAGAGAGGCGCTGGTCGGTTGGCCTCCCTTGATCGCGTCTTTTCCATTCCACCTCGCCCGCTGTCTCATTCGAGAGACATTGAGCCTCGCTCCGTCGCCACCGACTCGACGATACACAAGCACAGCCTCACTTTCCCGGCATTAATCAACCGCCATGGCCCGGGACCACCTCCCCCCCGACACGTCCGCTCCTGGTCCTGGTCCTGATCCCGATCCCGATGCTTCCCCCCTTAACAACCACCACCATCACCACGACGACGCACCACGACACATCGACGACGCCGCCTACCCCCGGGACCCCCTCGGCGTCGAAAAGGCCCCCGTCGGCACCCCCCCCGACTACAGCGACCACGAAAAGGCAGGGCCCGGCCATGGCTCGACCGAGCTGACGGCCGCCGGCGAAGGCCCCCTGCCCATCCGCCTCCTCTCCCGCCATCGCCGCGTCCTCACCCATCTCTTCCTCTTCCTCCTCTTCACCGGCTGGTGGATCGCCTCCCTCATCCTCCACCGCCACGACAAGAACTGGGTCGTGCCCTTTCTGCTGTGGCTCGCCATCTCCCTGCGCCTCCTCTTCTTCCACGTCTCCATCCGCCATGTCTCGCGCCCCATCCGCTGGCTCTGGCAGCACTCGGCCGTTGTCGTCCACGACGCCATCCCCGCTCGCCTGCGATCCCTCGTCGGCGGCGCCGCCGCCGTGGCCGTCATCCTCGTCGGCTCCTTTGCCTCTGAGGAGAGCGCCGACAACACGCGCGCCAACCGCGCCGTCAGCCTCTTCGGCATGGCCGTCATCATCTTTGCCTTTTACATCACCAGCGTCGCCCGCTCCCGCATCAACTGGCGCACCGTCATCGTCGGCATGCTCAGCCAGTACGTCATTGGCCTCTTCGTCCTGCGCACCACGGTCGGCTACGACATCTTCAAGTTCATCGCCGACCGCGCCGGCGACCTCCTCGGCTTCGCAAAGGACGGCGTCGCCTTTCTCACCACGCCCGACGTGGCCAAGACGCCCTGGTTCTTCTTCGGCGTCATCCCCGCCATCATCTTCTTCATCTCCCTCGTCCAGGTCCTCTACTTCATCGGCTTCCTCCAGTGGTTCATCCGCAAGTTTGCCACCTTTGTTTTCTGGGCCCTCGGCGTCTCGGGCGCCGAGGCCGTCGTCGCCGCCGCAACCCCCTTCATCGGCCAGGGCGAGTCGGCCATGCTCGTCCGCCCCTTTGTCCCGCACATGACAAAGGCCGAGATCCACCAGATCCTCACCTGCGGCTTCGCCACCATCTCGGGCTCCGTCCTCGTCGGCTACATCGGCCTCGGCCTCAACCCCGAGGCCCTCGTCTCCTCGTGCATCATGTCCATCCCCGCCTCCCTGGCCATCTCCAAGCTGCGCTACCCCGAGACCGAGGAGACGCTGACGGCCGGCCGCGTCGTCATCCCCGACGACGACGAGCACAAGGCCGAAAACGCCCTCCATGCCTTTGCCAACGGCACCTGGCTCGGCATCAAGATTGGCGGCACCATCATCGCCTCGCTCCTTTGCACTCTCGCCGCCGTCGGCCTCATCAACGGCCTCCTCGCTTGGTGGGGCCGCTATCTCAACATCAACGACCCCCAGTTGACGCTGCAGACCATCCTGTCGTACGTCATGTACCCGGTGGCCTTTTTGCTCGGTGTTCCGCGCAACGGCGACCTGCTCAAGGTTGCCAAGCTCATTGCCGAAAAAGTCGTCACCGTAAGTCCATCATGGCTAGCTTCAGCGGCTTCCTCGTGCCTCGATGAGCTAACACGCGTCGCTGCAGAACGAATTCAATGCCTTTACCAAGCTCGCCCACGACCCGGAGTACGCCACCCTGTCGGCTCGCTCCCAGCTCATTGCCACGTATGCCGTCTGCGGCTTCGGCAACATTGGCTCCCTGGGCATTCAGATTGGTATCCTCGGCCAGCTCGCCCCGTCACGAGGCGGTGACGTGTCCAGGCTCGCCGTATCGGCCCTCATCTCGGGCGTCATGTCGACGCTGACGTCGGCCACCGTCGCCGGCCTCGTCGTCACCACGCAGCTGTCCAATTTCACCAAGAACGGAGCGTCATAGCGTGGACACGGCGTTGCATGAAGCGCGGCGAAGTATTGGGCGTGTTGCATAGTACGGCGTGAGAGGGGGAGCTTGACGAAGCAGAGTTGTTCTATTTCAGTAGTCCTCGTCCTAACAGTGGTGACGAGAAGAGATACCCCTGTTTGATGGCGCAGGCGCTGGTTTCATTGCATGTGATTGGACGACGAATCGTAGGCAGTCGTCCATTGAGGTCTAAAAGCCCTACAGGGAGAGGGGCTTGGCATGCCCAGGGGGGTTGGCGGACCCGGAACTGTGGTTCGCTGTGCATGATGTGCTATGCGGCCTGGAAGCCGTCGCCCGTCTATCGCCGAACCTTCTTTGGGTTTGGAAATAGAGATTGTGGCTCGTGCCAAGAGGGGAAGACGCGCTGCGCTTACCTTTGGCCAGCCTCCCCTGGTCTTTGGCGCAGGCTACTTTCAGCATGCCAGGCCTGGAGGCGGTTAAGGTTCGTCGGCTGTCCTGGGAACAGTGGCGTGGCTCGTAGAGAGTCAACCACGCAAACGGTTGAAGTACAAGGACATGGACGACTGGTTTCCGAAAGAAGAGATGCTCGGTGTGACATGATAGCTTCCCCCTGTTGCGGAGAGGAACATGCCGGCGGAATGACAGGGGGGTCTCGGGAGTTCGGATGTCCGCAGCCGAGACCGCGCCGCTCGCACCGACGCCTCGGCTGCTGCTGGCAATTCTCGGTCTTTCCTTGGACATGGCGGAATTGTTGAGATATATGTTTTTGAGCAAGGCTTGGGCTGGGCGGGGAAATGTAGAGGCATGGCCTGGACAAAAGCCTGCAAGTGCGAGTGGTGGCAAGTAAAACGCCAAGTTGATCAAGTTACGTAGCAGCGCCAAAAAGGTTCCCCCCCAAAAAAGTCTTTTACGTTTTGGGACTCATCACGTGGTTGCGCGCCGGGACAGGGCCCCGCGTAAAGGAGCTCCGGCGAGGACCTCGACCCAAGACCGCTCGCCGCCACCTCTCCCGCGACGACCAGACCCGGACACGACGCGCTCTTCCTCTCCCGCAGCACCTTGCACCGATTGGAGCAGGACGCCTCCTCCCCCTTCCATAGCAAGCATACACGCGAAACCCCGCCGCGTCTCGCAAACGTGCCCGCCCGCGCGCGCCCGCGCGGCTCATGCCCAGGAAACCCCCCGAGTCGGGCATCCCGGCCGCAAACATGCTCTCCTTTGCGCCGGCGCCGCCATGGTCCTCGACATCGCCGCCGCCAACCGTCTTCTGCGGCACGTCGTGGGACCACCACCGCCCCGTCGTGTCCTCGCCGCTCTCCTCGTCGCCCGTCCGCGCCACGTCGCCCCTCTCGCCCATGGACCGCAACGCGCTGCCCCAGCGCCAGACGCAGTCGTCCCCGATCCAGCCGCCGCCGAACAAGCCCTTCGCCGCCTCCTTCTCCGTCCCCTCGCGATTCGCCTCGCGGCCGACGCGTCCGAACCCCCTCGTGCGCGGCCGCGAGGATGCGCGCCTGTCGCGGCGGCACAATTTCCTCCAGCGGGTCCGGCAGAGCGCCGACGACAAGGCGTGGCAGAGGAGAGATATCGAGGGTCAGGTACTGTTTTTATCCCCCTCCCCTTTATACGCATTTGCTCACGCCGTCTCCGGGGTAGTTTCTCAAGACGAGTTGGCTCGCCAGTCTAGGCCGGCTGTCGCACGATGCGCCCGCCATTTCCGACGCCGACATTGAAGACGCCACTGCGTTCCGGGCCGACGCGGCGCAGTCTACGGACCAGGACGAGATGATGGTCGACAGCCAGCGGGAAGACGACGAGCTCGAGGCCTTGGTCGCCACTCACGACCAGCACTTTGCCTTTCGCAAACGACAGCCCTCGCCGGCATCGCTATCCGACGAGGAATACGACGAAATCTTTGCAGAGCTTATGTCTCAGGAGCAGCCGTCACTGCTACAGAGTCAGTCGCAACACCCGGCAGAGCTCATGGACATGAGCGACGACAGCTGAATCGACTGTTTGTTACATGCGGCTTCGGGTCACGGCGTTGGCGGGTAAGGCCAAGGGGGCCACTGGCGTTTTGGGGCCGATACGTTGGGATATCCTCAGGGCATCGACATGTCCGTGTGATATATGTTGTTTCGTGTAGGTGTAGGTACTCAAAAAGTCCAACTTGACAGGTGAGGGGGGGTATATATACGAGCACACGGGGTCCAAACAATGGCAGACCGGATCTACTGTGGATTGCACTGATCATCCGCGGCGTTAAAGGCCTCCTGCGCCGACGACATGTCTCCCACCAGGTCTGCCGGCGGCGACCCAGCCGCTTGCATCTGAAGCCGCGTCGCGTCAGTAGCTGCGAGGGTGCATTGCAGCCTCCGGGGCCGACTCACCTTCTGCATCCTCTCCACAATGTACTCGCGGTCCGTGGCGTTGGTGTCCGAGTACGTGCTCTGCTCAAACTTGGCCACAATTTCCCCGACGAGCACCTGCTGCTCCTGGTATCGCCTGAGGTCCTCGGCCGCCGTCGAGCCCCTGTTCTTGTCGAACCACCCGGGGAACTTGTCGTGCAGCTCCTTCATGGGCTCGTACAAAATCTCCTTGTTGGTGAGCTGCTCCATCATGCCCATGAGCATCTTGGAAAAGTCTTCGTCGCTGCCCTCGGCGCCTAGGGTGCCCTCAGAGAGCTGCTTGAGCATCTCGGACATGAAGTCCTCGCCGCCCTCCGAGGCTGCCGCGGCCGTCGCCTGCTCGCCCGATGTCTGCATGCGCTCCATGGTGCGGCGGATCGTGTCCTGGAAGGAGGCGTCGGCGCCTGCGTCGCCCGCGGGCGGGTTGGCCGAGCTCGAGGCCTTGGCAGTCTTCTCGGGCTTGGGGGCTGCCGACTCCCTAGGGGCTGCCGGCATCTGCTTCTCGTTATCGGCTGCCGCCTTCTGTATCTCTTTTTCCTCTTCCAGCATTTGGTTCCACACCTTCTCGAGCTGTTCCGGCCCATCTGCATCGGCTGCCACCATTTTCTTGAACATTTCCTCAAACTGCTCTTGCATCTCCGGCTGGTGACCAAGGCATGGTCAGTGACCGCTCAGGCAGAGCAAATGGGGGAGGCGGCTCACGGATTTCTTCAGCTCGTTGATCATGCCATCCACGCCGGCTTGCAGCTGCTTGGCCAGCTCATCTCCGTCCATGTCATCGTATGGATATTTTTGCGTCTCTGTGCTGGCAGGCTGCGGTGTCTTGGCCTTGGGGGCCAGAGCGCCGGGTCCTAATGGCTCCGCCGGCTCCGGGGCGCTGTGTGATGCGTCTAGTTTGGTGGTGGAGAAGTCGTCCAGCATGTCTAGGGAAATGGCCGACAGTCAGTTTCCTGGCGACTCGCCGACACGGGAGCAAACCTCACCATCCAGATCGTCCAAGTCATCCTCTTCGGGATCAGGGAAATCCTCCTCCATCACGTCTAGCGATACGGCAGGTTGAGCGGCAACTACAGGGGGCGCAGAGTTGGCTTGTGCATCCATCTCCTTGGGCCCTGTGCCGTCCTTCTTGGGCCCGGCCGTCGCACCGGGATTCGAATCCATGGTGGCTCACGAGGCGGCAGAGCAAAGCAATCTGTCTCCGAAAGCCCAAGAGCAAGCCCACGCGCAAACACACACTTGGCGATGAGCCGCGGGGCAAAGACGTTTGTGTCTTGTTGCTATTGGCTAGGCTGGGAGGCGCTACGCAATGCGCTGTCGGATCCAGCTTGTGCGACCGGGGAGCAGCAGCACTTGGCCAGGGCGACGGGAGAGAGCTGGGCCGGGATGCCGAGACGAGAGGCGGATTGATGGATGAGGTCGGCGTGCGAGGGGAGCCATCGTCGTGGGTAAGGCTGAGCCGAGGAGTTTAGTGGAGGGCCGGCCAGCGAGCTCCTTTGGGGCGACGGTGCCGACCCCACCAGACACCCCGCCGTTCCCGATCAAGCTTCCCGTCCTCGAGTCTCCTGCCGACACCAACAACAGGAACTGGGCGTGGGCATGGTTTGATGGGTGCGAAAATGGCCACTCGGTCAGCGACTATCCATGCTCCTGTATCGGTCGTCTGTCGGGGCGACCTTGCAGCGCTGAACGACCAGTCACGGTAGCGGTGTGTGGGGGGGCCGCGTGACAGGGCCTTGAGCACTGTGGGCGTTACTGGCTTACAGCGGCTGTACTGCCCGCGGCCCAGCCCCGGACGCTGTACTCCAGGCGTCCCCGACACCCACAGGCGCCCCCAGCACCTCCAGGCAGCTGCGAGTCGTGGCCAGGCCAAGGCCGCCAAGGCAGCCCCACCGACTGCAGTCCGTCGCCTTCGTCGGGAACTGCCGTAGGATCCAACAACCAACCGCCTTTCAATCTCACCTAACGACGACAAACGAACGCCGTGACGCATTCCACACGCCGGGGCTCCTCTGTACCGGGCCAACGCCGACGTGTTTATCTTGCCCATCTGCCCCAAGCCTTGATCCCTTGCACTCTTTTTCTTCTCACACGATCCTCTCTCTCGCGCCCGCCGCCGTCTCTCGCGGATCCTGCCCATCAGCTGCGTGGACTCTCAGCTCTATACAGCCTTGATCCACCGCACGATTCCCTACCATGGCGCTGTGCCAGAACCGGCTACAGGAGGAGCGGTGAGTCGCATGACTGTCGTGCCCGGCGGGCGGCGCTGATGGCTGTGATCCGCCGCACAGGAAGCAGTGGCGACGGGATCATCCGTTTGGCTTCTATGCGAAACCCGCGCGAACCAAGGAGGGTGTGCTGGACCTTAAGAACTGGGAATGCGGCATACCCGGCAAGGAAAAGACAATCTGGGAGGGCGGCCTCTTCAAGCTGACGATTGCGTTTCCCGATGGTGAGCCCCGACCCTCCATCCTCTCGCATACTCGCTTCCCGATCCGCTGACACCCCGGACCTAGAATACCCCACGAAGCCCCCCAAATGTGAGTCCATGGCCCTGCTTCCAGTGCTGACCGTGAGCTCTAATCCCCCTTCCAGGCAAGTTTGTTCCGCCGCTGTTCCATCCCAACGTCTACCCGTCTGGCACCGTGTGCCTGTCAATTCTCAACGAAGAGGAGGCATGGAAGCCCGCCATCACGGTCAAGCAGATCCTCCTCGGCATTCAAGACCTCCTCAACGACCCCAATCCCGAGTCGCCCGCCCAGGCCGAGGCCTACAACTTGTTCAAGCGAGACCGAGTCGAGTACGAGAAGAGGGTCAAGCGCGTGGTGCGCGAGAATCCGGCGCCCTGAGGAATCACGCGCCGTTGAGCACTCATGCTTACTGCACCTCGGATGCAAGTGGCAAAGCGAAGAGAATACAGACTTGCTTCGGCGTTGGAAGGGAGGATACCAGGATCAACTCAGCGGCATGGCCATGGGGCCGGAGAATTGGGCATTGTCGTCCAGTTTGGAATTTGATTTGAGGCTGGCCGAGGAGCCCTGCGGGTTTGATGTCTGCCAGGCGGAGTTTGCTGCTGTCTCTGCCTCGTTCTTGCCTAAGGTTCGAGTATATCCAACTCGGTTCTGATGTTTGTTCAACAAGCCGCCCGAGACTGTTTGGCCGCTTTTTTGCCTCGTCCGCCTCTTGCTATGGCCCGTGCGCTTGTTGTCCTATCCGAGTCGCCTTGGTTTGTTTCTGTGGCTGCCTTGCCTCACCTGCTTGCAAAGGTCCAGCGCATCGTCCATTCACGGGTGCCCAGCGGAGAACAACTGGCACAAGGGGTTGCACGACTCGTGGTTCAAGGCCGCCGGGGTAGCACGGCAGCCCTTGATTCGAGGCAACGAGAGTCCGGGCCCGGACAGGGCTGAAGCCTCATCCAGCAACGCACCTTTGCTGCGCGTAGCCGGCGCGCACCTCCGATTGGGAAGTTGTCATGTAGTGGCACAGGCTGAGATTTCAACCCTTCCGCCCGCCCGGATAAGAACAACGGCCGAGGTCGGCGCCCTCTGAGCCTTGTCGCAGAACCGGACGCTGCTAGCCAGTAGTGGGCTTCTTTCTGTGACTGTTATCTCTCCTGTCTCGGCCCCAGTTTTTTATTATCGGCCACAACCGCCGGTCTCGTCTGCTTTGACTCATGCTCTTCTTCCCTTCCTTTATCCCGCATCGTCCTTGATAGTATACCTTATATACCGTCGCTGCCATCCCGAAAGCTGCTTCATTGAGGCACTGCAGCAATCATGTGTGGAATCTTCGCTTGCTACCGGTGAGTGCATAGCGCTGACCTCCGGCGACGCAGAAAATTCGGCAGACAGGATTGGAGGGGCAGGCGTGATCGGCAGCTACACCCCGCCACCCGCCATGCATCCCGTCGAAGAGCCCCGGACTGACCTGACCATTTCGAAGTCATCCCGACGTCCAAAAGTTCAAGCCAATCGCGCTTCGACTCGCAAAGCAGTATGCTACCCCATCCATCCATCGAGACCTCGACACGGACAAGCGTTGACCTGCCCGCCCTAGAATCCGCCATCGCGGCCCCGATTGGAGTGAGTTTGGACTGCCGGGACCACGGCCGCAGATACTAACCCCTTCTCCCATCAGGCGGCAACATCATCTCCAACAGCACGAGTAGGTCGATTGGCTTCCCACGGCAGCACAAAAGGAGCTGTCCCAGCTAATATCATGTCGCAGTCCTCTGCCATGAGCGATTGAGCATTGTCGGCGTTGGTAAGCTCGGACCCTCTGGTGTCGTCACGGTCGCCGGCGCTGACCCATGCACGTACAGAGTCGGGTGCCCAGCCCCTGACCAATGCCGACGAGTCGCTCGTCCTTGCTGTCAATGGCGAGATCTACAACCACCGTCTGGTCCGGAAGCACCTGAAGGAGTCGTACCATTTCAAGACGCACTCGGACTGCGAGGTCATCATCCCATTGGTTCGTTGCCCGTCTTGCCGTCGACGGGATAGCGTCAAGTCTAACCCCGGCGTCCCCAGTACATGGAATATGGCCTCGATGCCCCCTGCCACCTGGACGGCATGTTCTCCTTCGTGCTGTATGACAAGAACCAGGATCGCATCATCGCCGCCAGAGACCCAATCGGCATCACCACCTTTTACCAGGGCTGGTCGTCCAAGGAGCCGGGCACCGTCTACTTTGCCTCTGAGCTCAAGAGCCTGCATACCGTCTGCGACAAGGTCGTAGCCTTCCCTCCCGGTCACATCTACGATTCCAAGACGGGCGAGACTACCCGGTACTTTAAGCCGTCATGGTGGGACCCCTCCAAGGTTCCCTCAACCCCCGTCAACTACAAGTCTCTTCGAGGCGCACTGGAAATAGCTGTCAAGAAGAGGCTCATGGCTGAGGTCCCATATGGTGTCCTGCTGTCTGGTGGATTGGACTCGAGCCTGGTTGCTTCCATTGCGCAGCGCGAGACTCTGCGATTGAAGAAAAAGGCCCTGCAAACCAACGGTGGTGTCGAGCCCGAGGGCAACCCCGATCTGGGTGAGGGACTCGTGGGCATTGACGACGACGACAATCTCGAAACTGTCACCTATTTGCCTCAGCTCAACTCCTTCTCCATTGGCCTCCCTGGCTCTCCTGACAACAAGGCAGCCCTCGAGGTTGCCAAGTTTCTTGGTACCAAGCACCACGTCATGACCTTTACCATCGAGGACGGCCTCAATGCGCTCACAGACGTCATCTACCACCTCGAGACGTACGACGTGACGACGATCCGCGCATCCACCCCCATGTACCTGCTGTCGCGCAAGATCAAGGCCATGGGCATCAAGATGGTGCTGAGCGGAGAGGGAAGCGATGAAATCTTTGGCGGCTATCTGTACTTCCACGCCGCGCCCGACAAGAAGGCTTTCCACGAGGAGACTGTCCGTCGTGTCAAGAACCTCCACCTGGCCGACTGCCTGCGTGCCAACAAGTCGACTTCGGCCTGGGGTCTCGAGGCCCGAGTGCCTTTCTTGGATAAGGAGGTGCGTTGAAGAAGCATAGACTCGTACAAGACACAGTGCTGACATGACGTGCCTAGTTCCTCGAGACGTCGATGAACATTGACCCCCAGGACAAGATGATCACAAAGGACAGAATGGAAAAGTACATCATCCGCAAGGCCTTTGACACGAGCGACGAGCCGGACAACGAGCCATATCTTCCAGAGTCGATTCTTTGGAGGCAGAAGGAGCAGTTCTCAGACGGCGTCGGATACGGATGGATTGATGCCCTCAAGGACAACGCCGAGCTGCACGTCACGGACGAGATGATGAAGAACCCGAAGCCGGAGTGGGGCAACGACATCCCCGACACCAAGGAGGCGTATTGGTATCGATTGATGTTTGACGAGCACTTCCCCCCGCATTGCGCCTCGACGGTGATGCGCTGGACGCCGACGTGGTCCAAGCAGACGGACCCCAGTGGCAGGTTGGTTCCATTCTGTTCTCGGAGATCTCGACGGCGTTGGATGAGTGCTGACCATACACGATGTAGAGCCATCTCGACCCACGTTGACAAGTATGACAACGCTGCTTAAGAACAAGAGACTCTGCCCAAAGCCCGGCCGTGTCTCCAGAAGTGTATGAAACTGTTTGCAGCACAATCTAGTTTTAGATTGCCGAGATAGGGTCTCTGGGTTTGGAAAGGATATATACACGGCATAGACAGATGGCGGCGAATTGGAAGGCAACTTATCCGACGACAATGGTGTCTGTTCTGCGTGTGAGTGGCGAGGGCGTGAACAGCGGGTTCTACAAGTTTGACTTACTCTCTGTGCGATCAGGCGTGGGCGGCTTGCTGTGCAAAGGCGCATGGCAGAGAAACGGGCAGGCGCCTGGGTGCCCCGGCAACCAGGAAGCTGTTGAACAGCCGTTCAACCCTTTTGGCAGGGCAGCACCGCCCACGGCAAGGGCTTATAAGCCAATATTGATTGGCCACCCTCCACAACCTAGTTGCGGTTTGGCCGAGCGGCTAAAGCGAAGGAGATCAGCTGCCTCTACCGGCTTAGAGGGCTGGGAGCCCTCAGGTGGTAGAGTTTGAGCCCTCTGGAGTGAACGGGTGCGCATCCCCGCAAACCATTTTTTGCTACTCGTCGACTCTGGCCGTCTTTGCTACCTTTTTTTGCATCGCATGGGCCTCTTTCCCCCCCTCTTTGGCGTTGTTGCTGGCTTCTTTACGGCTCTTTTGCGGTCCCTTGTGGTGCCAGGAAGGGGGATCGAACAGCGCCTCGAGTTGTGAGGCATCGCGAACTGCCGTTTACGGGCAGTCGGGTCGGATGAACTGGATAGCCCGGGCCCCGAGCCTGCAGAGCTGCCGCACGCGCGTGAACAGGCTGCTCAATGGCTTTGCTGCTTGTCGGCCGGCTCGTCAAGGGCGCATGTTCGCGTGAGGTTGCAAGATCATGCGCCTGGGAGGCGGGCAGGGATGGTGAGTTTACGTTGGCATGGGCTTTGCGTTGGCATGCAGGGGGGGGGCTTGAAGATTGATTGCTTTCTTTAGATATTAACGGCACGACGGTCATTGTGAGCGAATGAGAATATCTGAGGGTGAGTGATGCTTGAGGTTGGTTATGCTCTGGTGGACATGGGCGTCTCTCTGTTCCGATACAGATATTCGGGTACCTCTACCGAATGACAAGGACGGCGTAGGCGATTCCTCGAATATACATACTGTAGCAAGGCAAGGGAGCAGGCGGGACACGATTGTCCTGAAGGACGGTCGTCGGATCCCCGCGCGTCCCAGACGTCTATGGTGACAGGAGGAGGCGCGGTGGCTGCTGACCCCTGTCTTGGGGCAGGGCATGTCTCTGGGGTACTTATTATTACCGCACAGTAGATACATGTCAAAGGCAATGGAGGCGACCTGCACGCCAGGTTGTTCCTGGCGAGAAGGGACGCGAAGACATGACGAGACGCACCAAGGAGTCGTCCGGGCATTGACAGGCCCACTAGCGCGCAGGGGGGTTCAAGGGAGAAACACACTGTACTCGACGCCTACAGGCCCCCCCCCAATACAGTGCGGAGTGTTCCAAGAGAGCGATACGGTCCGACATCAGCCGAACAGATACAAAGTACATGGCCCGGGAGCGCTGCTTCGTGTGGCACGGCCAAAAACATTTTCCTCGGCGAGAGCTTTCCACCTCATCCTTTTCCTCCACACTCACCTCACTCCTCGCGCCGAATCCCCTCACGAGCCCAATCCTCTCCCACAAACCGAACCGCTGCAGCTCGCTCGCCGCCAACATGTCTGTCCCCGCCTTCTCTGACATTGCCAAGCAGGCAAACGATGTACGTCACTCCTGCAACCTGCCTCGCCCGCCGAGCTTGTAGCTAGCAACGCCGCAACGCTGATGATGGAGCACTCGCTGACTTGATTCTCTCTGCCTCTCCGCCGCTCGTTTCCCTCAACTGCAGCTTCTCAATAAGGACTTTTACCACCTGTCCGCCACCACCTTCGAGTTCAAGGACACGGCCCCCAATGGCGTTGCCTTCAAGGTCACGGGCAAGTCGAGCCACGAAAAGGCCACGTCCGCTGCTGTGAGCCTGCCTACCTGCCCTAGCTGCATCCTGGACACTGCTGACCATGTTCCCCGGCTGCAGATTGAGGGAAAATACACCGACAAGCCTACCGGTACTCCCCCCCGCCCAAAGCCCCCCCGTCCCCCGGGCCGCCGACAGGACCACCACCGGCCCTCGCTTGGCATCGCGCGAATTCTCGGCCGTGGCACCGGCTGGCCGCTCGAGCTCGCTGCGCTTTTCCAACCTGGCGGCCGCGCACATGTGCTAATCTGTTACGCGCGCACAGGCCTGACCCTGACGCAGACGTGGAACACGGCAAACGCCCTTGACACCAAGCTCGAGGTCAGCGACTCGCTCGCAAAGGGCCTCAAGCTCGAGGGTCTCTTCAACTTCTTGCCCGCCACGGCCGCAAAGGGCGCAAAGTTCAACCTCATGTTCAAGCAGCCCAACTTCCACGGCCGCGCCTTCTTTGACCTGCTCAGGGGCCCCATGGCAAACGTCGACGCCGTCATCGGCCACGAGGGCTTCCTCGCGGGCGCCAGCGCTGGCTACGACGTCAACAAGGCCGCCGTCACCGCCTACAGCGCCGCCGTCGGCTACTCGGCGCCCCAGTACAGCGCCGCCGTCACCGCTACCGATAACCTGAGCGTCTTTGCCGCCTCCTACTACCACAAGGTCAACAGCCAGGTCGAGGCCGGCGCCAAGGCCATCTGGAACTCCAAGACGGGCAACACGGTCGGCCTCGAGGTTGCCAGCAAGTACCGCATCGACCCCGTCTCCTTTGCCAAGGTGAGTTTGCTCTGCGCACTTGTCGGTGTCTTGACTGGGCAAGGCCTCACTGACAATTCTCCGCCCTGCAGGTAAAGATCAACGACCGTGGCATTGCCGCTCTTGCCTACAACGTGCTCCTCCGCGAGGGCGTCACTCTGGGTCTTGGTGGCTCTTTCGACACCCAGAAGCTCGACCAGGCCACCCACAAGGTATGTCGGCCACGAGTTGCGACTGACATTGTGTGTTTTGCTAACGCGCGTTCGTGCAGCTCGGTGCCAGCTTCACCTTTGAAGGTTAACGGCTTGGCATACCCGTCTCTTTTAATAAGCCATCGTCGTCCTCTCCCTGCCTCGCCTCATCTGGTCCATTCCCCCTCTTGAACCAGGCGCGTCTACGCGCGGCTGCTGTACTGAAATAGATGTCTTGTATCTTACCATGCAGATGTATGAACAAGAAGGAGCGTGAGAATTCAAGACTCCAAGGCATCGTCTAGCATTTGTGGATGCATGCGCCGTGCTTTCCCTTTGGTTATCCACTTTGCCCATTGCAAACCAAATCAGTCCTGCGACGCCGTCTGTCCGCAACACACAAAGAAACCCCCGCACATGATAAACTGTCGATCCGTGCTCCCATCTCTTCTTTTTTGAAAGCGCTCCGTCTATGCTACTCCAGCTCCCTCTTTCGGTGGCCCAGGCGCATAAACTGCAGGTACACGACGGGGGCGAGAAAGGTGGCGCCCAGGATGCCGGCGACGATGAGGAAGTGGCCGGCGAGGCTGGTCTGGGGCTCAAACTCGACGTCGTCGTCGCCGACGGCGCGGCGGGAGCGCTGCCAGCGGCGGCGGTCCTGGGTCTCGTGGGTGCGGGCGTGGGCGTTGCGGTCAAAGTGGGGAGGCGCGGCATCGTCGTGGCCGAAGGGCGAGGAGCCGGGGCCCATGCCGGCGTGGCGGGGGAACGAGTCGTCGGCACAACGGTGATGATGCTCGGAGGAGGTGCCCGTCGACTCCTCGTGGGCGCGGCGGCGGGCATCGGCGTGGGCGCCCCAGCCGCCGTTGCGGTAGAAGCTGGGCGCGGGCCCGCGGAAGGAGCCGCGGCGACGGCTGAGGCCCGAGGGGGCGCGGCCGCCGGCGGGGTTGGCGGCGGTGCTCGAGTAAGAGGCGCGCGGGTGGCGCTGAGAAGACTGGTGGTGGTGGAGGGCGAGGACGTCGCGGTCGTAGGCGGCGCGGCGCGAGGGGTCGGAGAGGACGGTGTAGGACTCGGAGAGCAGGGAGAAGGAGCGCGCGGCGTGCGGGTCCGAGGGGTTGACGTCTGGGTGGTGGGTTTTGGAGAGGGCGTAAAAGGACCTGGTGGCGGATGTGAGTTCTTGTCGTTCTTTTTCTTGTGCGCTTCATGGGCTCGGCCGAACCCAATTGACGAGGGAGGTGCACGGCGAGAATAGAGAGAGAGAGAGGGGGGGGGAGAGGGTGTGGTTTGCCACGTACTTTTTAATCTCGGCGGGCGAAGCATCGCGCCTCACCCCCAGCCTCGCATAGTGATCATCCGCCGCCGCGCCGCCATGACGATGACGCTGCTGCTGCTGCCACCGCGGGCGCGACGCATGCAGCCGACGACCCGGACACACGGGCGCGAGGCTCAGCCGCGGGCGCGCGCGGCCGACGAGGACGAAGGGGGCGGACGAGGGCCGCGGCATGCCTTGCTGCTGCTGCTGCTGTGCCTCATCACGAGAATAGACGCCACTCTTTTTTTTTTTGGGGTTGCTGATCCCGCCCCCTCAGAGCGGGTGCTGTGAAGAGGGCACAAAGAGGAGGAGGAGGAAAGAGACGAGAGAGCGCGCGGTTTGACGGGACTGGTCAAGTCGGCGAAGGGGCGGGAGAGAGGCAATTGGAAGGACGGGTGGGTGGGGGAAGTGTGTGGTGGTTGGATGATGTAATGGCCGGAGCGGGCTACTGTGGGTTGTACAGTGCAAGCGTGCGATGATAAGGACGGTGCAGTGATGGAAGAAACGAGGCGCGGGGATGCATCGACAACCACGTGCGGAGCGACACATATGCATGTCCTTTTCGATTGATCCCATTTACACGGCAGTATGTACAGAGTATATATATATGCATGTATGTCCGGCCGCCAAGACCAGACATGTATACCCAAAAAAAGCCCGCCTTGCCTTGCCGCCTGCCGACCAAGGATGCAATGCAATGCGATGCAGCCTCAAGAGCCAACAGAGTGCTCTCTCTCGCTGTTGCTCTCCATCCCTCCTCTTCTAGCCTAGAGAGCCCGTCGCGACAAGACCAGGCGTCACCTCGCCGCCGGCCGCCTAAACGGATGGGCCTCCGTGTTGAGCACCCACTCGTCCAGGTCGATGACGCCCTCGTCGTCGAAGATCAGGTAGAAATACTTGAGCGTTTCCGAGAGCCAAAACGTCTGCGAGCAAAGAGTCAGCCACGTGTTGTAGGCATCAACCTCGTCTGACAGTTCCATTCCCTCAGCCGGAAAGGAGAAGGGGGCGGGGGTTGGGCGGTGGGAGGAAGGAAATAAGAGACAGAACAAACCTCCATCGAGTCCATCTTGGCACTGGCGTGCACCCTCACGTCCTCAATCGAGGCAAACGCAAGCTCCGTCTCCGTCTCGCGCACAATGCCCTGCCACATCCTCCACGCCGCGTCGCGCCACGCCTGGTCGCCCGTGATGCGCCACATGTAGAAGACGCTCTCCACCGCCTCGGGCCGGAGGAGGTAGCGCGGGTCTCGCACCCGCACAAACCCGCCGGGTAGGAGGTCGTCGCCGAAGCCGCCCCCGGCGCGCAGCGTCTCGCCGGCCGGAGGGCACGGCCCGTCGAGCGTCTCGCACGCCACCAGCTCGGCAATCTCGGGCATCATGTTGGTCGGGAACGAGTCGTAGGCCCAGACGCACCCGGCCGCCAGCCGCGACGCCAGGTCCACGTAGTGCCGGCGCCCAAGGAGCCGCCCCGCGAGGCCGTAGGTGCCGCCCGCAAAGCACGTCAGGTGCTGCATCTCGGGCGTCAGCGCCGTCGCGCCGTCGCTCCAGTGTGCGTTGCCGGCCATGAGGATGTTGTCGCCCTTGGGCGTCACGGGCCGATACAGCAGCTTGTCGCGCGCCGCGTCGAGCGCCCGGATCGTCATGTCCTCGTACTGCGGGTCGAGGCCGCCGAGCAGGGCGTGCATCTTGGGCAGGTACTCGTACAGCGAGTCGGAGCCGGCGCCCAGCGAAAAGACGACGGCGTCGACGCTCTCGTTGCGGTAGTTGATGACGCGCGGCCACAGCCCGGGCACCTTGGTCTTGGCCTGGGTGCGGCCGAAGAACTGCTTGACGCGCTCCGTGGCGTCGTAGTACTTGTTGTCGCCCGTGATCTGACTGAGGCGGGTAAACTCAAGGCTCAGCGACCCGAGGGCCGCCGCCGACATGCTCAGCTCGGCCTCTTGCCCGCCCGTCTTGGCCTTCTCCAGGCTCAGCCACTGCGTTGGCAGCCGGTTGGGCGTGTCAAAGGCGGCGTAGAGGGTGTCGCCCAGCTCGACGGCCTTGGCCCTGAGGACGGGCTCCTGGGACAGGTCGTAGGCGGAGAGCAAGCCGCCGAGGTAACGGATCGTCACCTCAAAGAGGTTGATGGGCTTTCCGTCGCGCGTCTTGGACCAGTCGGTGACAGCCACCTCCTTGACAGCCAGGTAAAAGTCGTCTTCCAAGCCCATGATCCACAGGGTGTCGAGAGCATCGACGAGCTGAGCGGCCCAGCCGGAGAAGCTGTGGCGGCCCTTGCCCGACAGGGGCATGAGCTCGTCCCTGGTCCAGGCGTGCTTCTTGTAGGCCTCCCAGCTCTTGACAAAGGCCTTGCGGACCGCCTCCTTGCGAGCCCTGGCGACGTCGTCGTGGCGCTCGGCACGATCCCTGGCCTGGACCTGGGGGAAAGCCTTGGGCTTGCCGGCGGGGAGGGATACGGGGTCGACGACGGGGTAAAAGGGCGTCGCCTGGGCCCAGTCGAAGCTGCTGGGGACGTAGCGCACGTCTCCCACAATGGTGGCGGCGGGATTGGGCCGCTCCCGCAAGCCGCGCCACAGGACGAGGGTGACGAGGGCGAAGACGGCCAGCGCAACCGAGCGGCGGCCGGGACGGCCCTGTAGCTGGTTCATGGTGACGGGCGGCGGCGCATGGTCTGTATGTGCGGCGGGTGAGGGCGAGGTTGAATGGGAGGAGGGAAGCCGGAGTGGGGGCGGGGGTAGGATAAGTTATATATGTTAGTGCTTCGTCCCTCCTTGTACGGGGAAGAGGACGATGAAAGCAGCCTCAAGTACTTGGAGACGCACGGCTCAGTCGCCGCCGGATGCATCCTCCGTCCTTCTTGGCATGTAATTGCATGCTGTCCTACCATGTATGTACATACATCAAACAACCTTATTTCCTACCTCTATCCGCCCATGTATAAACCGCAGTCACTTGCATGTACACAGCGATGCAAGAGGGCTGCTACGGCGCATCCGGGTTGGCTCGCTTGGCTTGTCTTGCCGGTCGTTCCACGGCCCATCTGAATCAAGACGCACCGTTGGGGGCCCAGAATCCCTCCTCCTGTACAAGAGATGGAGAGCCAGTGGACGCCACTGAAACCCAAACGCCTCGCTCGTAACTTGGAGCCTGTGCGACGGGCGAATTCATCATGGCCAAGGCCAAAGTCACTCACTCCTAGAGACCGCTCGCTGAGTGGACCAACCGTGTCAAAAGAATGTCGGGCTTGTCAATTTTTCTCTCCATCCATCTACCGGTAATGAGCGATTTCAGACTCGGCGTCCAATTCCATCGGCATAGGCGGCGGGTGAGCAAACGTTGCCGTTCTCTGCCCCATCCGCCATTCGCCACCAACAACAATCTCACTCCTGCCATCGACATCATGTCCCCGGAGAGGACCACTCGTCGACCATGTGTTGCTGCGTCTCCTCCACCCTCCGTCGCGCCTCCCAACAGTCCATCAAGTTGCGCGTCGCAACGTCCAAAAATGCGTTGATATCGGGGCAGTCCTGGATCCCGGGCCAGGCCGCGCCATGCATCTGACTAGTGCATCGCCCTTGTCCAGCCAGTCCCGGACTCGCTCCCTCCTGGCTGGCAGCTCTAGTCGAGACAAGTCGTCTGTGTGCCGGCAGGGCCTGTCACGACCACACGTCCGGTCGTGTGCCCGGCTCCTGCTCTGGCCCGGCTTCCTTCACGGTCTTGTTCCGTCAAACAGCTGCCGCCGCCATTGCGCAAAATCGCCTCGGCAACAGGCTGTCGCTTCGGCCACATAAGCTTCTAGAGTAGCAAGTTTCATCACCTGCTCGTCGGCTCCTCTTGGCAACTTGTCCGTCAGCTCAGTCATAGCCCCCGCCAATCTGGCTATGGAACGCGGTGCTGATGCTCTTTTCGTCGTCGTCGTATCGCCGAGCGAACCCGCTGCCGTGTGCCATTCGTCCGTTGCTCTCCACGTAGTGCTTCAGGCGGTCGCTCTGCGTGTATGAGACGGGTCGCAGCCCCGTCACGGCATCGTGAAGCCCGGCACCGAGGCTCACTCCGCCTTGGCCCACGCCCTTTCCGCCAATGACGCTCGTCGTCGTCGTCGTTTCTGTCAGCTCCGAGTTGGCGACACTTTCGCCCGCCACGCTCTCCGTTGCACGACCACGACTCTTGTTGCCGCGTCCCGGCCCGCCCACTCCGGGAAGCCCAGGCCAATGCTCGGGCGTGAAGCTCGAAAACATTGGCGGAAACGCCGTGTTGAGCGCCGCCCCGCCAAACGCGGACCCTTGGATCGACGATACGTCATCTGGGATGTACGACATCATCGAGGCCGCATCCACGTCGCGTCCTGGCGGCGCCCCGTTGTGCCTGCCATTGGAATACCCGCCAGCCATGTACTGCGACTGGTAGTTGTTTTTCTGGCGGTAGCTCACCTTGGGTCGGCTAAACTGAAGGAGGCAGGCTTGGAGGTTGGTCAGGGGGCCCTCGACAAAGCATTTGCGGTCTTTGAAGTGGACAAGCAGGTTGTGCCAGAGCTCGTGCTTTGACAGCACCTTTGGGTTGCCCAGGATGACAAGACCGTACTTGGCACGCGTCAGCGCCACGTTGAGGCGGCGCGGATCGGACAGGAAGCCAATGCCCTGGTTCTCGTTGGAGCGGACGCAGGACAAGACGATAAAGTCTTTTTCGCGCCCCTGGAAAGCGTCGACGGACGCCACCTCGACCTCTTTGTAGAGTTCCTTCTTGTACTGCCCGGAGTTTTGCATCGTCGTCACAATGTAGCTCCGCTGACCCTCGTACGGCGTAATGACGCCGATTTCGCTGGGCTTCACGCCAGCCCGGAAGAAGCGCGTAACAGTCTTTTCCACGTTGGATGCCTCGGTTCGGTTCAGATACGACGTTCCCGAGGTGGATATTTCTTCGCCGCCGAGGTTGGACCAAAACATCATGGGCATCTCAGCGACGGGCCAGGGGAAATCGACGTCCTTTCTGAGACGTTGCTCGTGCGTAATGCCGTTCTGCAGAGCTCCCTCGTAAAACATGTTGGACGGGAATTCCGAGAGGCATGGGTGCATGCGGTACTGGGTGTTGAGACGGATCGGGGACAGCTGCAGATGGATCAGGCGTTCAAACAAGGACTGGTTAAGCCCGGCCTTGGCCGCCTTCTTGTTCATGATGACGGGTCCGAGCTGCTTGTGGTCACCAACCAACACCACCTGCTTGCAGCCGAGCACAAGGGGAATCAGACACTCGGGCTCTGCCGACTGCGTCGACTCGTCAATCAGGACGTTGCGGAACTTCATCTTTGACAGGCGAGGATCGCCGGCGCCAACACAGGTGCAGCACACAACGTCGGCGTTTTGAAGAATCTCTCGCTCAGCGAGCTTGGTGAGCTGCTTGAACTTTTTCTCGTCCTGGCTAGACAGCTCGCCGACGTCGGTCTTGAGCTGCGATAGTTTGACGAGCTCCGTGTTGTGCTCCGCCATGCGGACCTGTTCGTGCAGGGCCAAGAAGCTGACCGACGACTCAACGTCCTCGCGCGACTTTGCAGTGAGACGCACAACCTTGAGGCCAGTCCGATGAATGCGCTCGCAGAGCTGATCCACAGCAACGTTGGAAGGCGCACAGACAAGGACCTGGTTGCCCGTCGTCTTGGCAAGATGATAGATGATGGTCGCCGAGGTTACCGTCTTGCCCGTGCCAGGGGGCCCTTGGATCAGACTGATGGGCTTCTGCAGGACGGACTTGATGGCGTCCACCTGGCTCTGGTTCAGATCCGGAAGTCCAGGGGCAGACCACTTCTTGGGCTGGTTTGCCTTCATGGGCTGCAGCTGGACCTCGTGGCCTAGGAGGACGTAGTAGATGTAGCCCGAGACACTGAGCTCGTCGACTGCAAAGGTCTTCATGGCCAGCTGCATGCGGTCGTACGACGTGGCCTTCCACACATAGTCGGCCGAGAAGTTGTGCGACAGCTCCGTGGGTACCGACTTGTCGTTGCCATTTTTGCGCAGTTCCAGGCACACCTCGTCCGACTGGCTGTTGGGGATCTTGATGACATATCCCACGCCTTCCCACGGGTCACGAAGCTCACCGTTATAGCGGAGCCGCATTTCGTCTCCCACCGCGAGTTTGACGTCACCAGACTCAATCTTGTGCAGGTTAAAGCTGACAAGGTGCTTATTGTTGAGGCCGTAATCCCAACGGACCGTGAGGCCGTCCTCAGACTGAGCCTCCTTGAGCTTCTTGTCGTAATCCGACTCCATCTTGACGAGGGGACCGAAAATATTTTGATAATGGTAAGGGTCCTCGTAGCGGAGAAGAACCGGATCAGGGTCATCGTCAATGTTGGCCGCCTTGTCGAGGTCAACGGCAGTGGCGTTTGGGTCCACCTTCCACATCTCCTCGAGCCTGGAAATCGTGTTGGCCGACACATGACGGGCTCTTAGCTGCTCACTGTCAGACGGCGGGCTAACAAGCCAGCCCAAGAAGGCTCGTTCCTCGATCAGAGGCTCCCATCGCGAGATGTCCCAGTTCATGTCCTTGTTGGAGGTGCTGGCCGCGCAGGGCTGGCGGCAAAGCAAAACGACGACCGTGTCCGACTTTGCCGGGATGAAGCCAAGCAGGAAAGCATTCTTGGTTCCGCAGTTGTAACACTCCAACACGGTGTCTCCCAGCGTCGACTCGGGATGCAGCTGGACCTCCTTGTGTCTCGCTCGGACAAGGTGGTTGACGATGTGGGTGGACGAGCCGTTCCCTCGGGCTCCGCAGAACCACTTGTTGCAGGTCAAGCACTTGACGACGGATGCCGGAGAGTGGATGCCGCAGTAGCTGCAGCATCGCGTCAGTTCAGCCCCGGTCAGACCAGAGTTTGGGATGCCACTTACGCGCAAGCATGGGCCGGAAGTTGCTTTTCCTCGTCCGAGTTTTTCAGTTTCATTCCCATCATCCCGTCGACGGGGACGCTGTTGAGACTATCGTTCTCGTCCTCCTCGAAAGCCTCGGTCTGGTTGTCGTCGTCGTCTGCGCGACGTCGGCCGCTGGTGGCGGGGAACTTGCCATAGAGCAGGCTCTCATCGGGGTCGAGGGCAGATAGATCGTCGGCACCGGCGTTGATGGCTGCAGCCGAGTCGGAAATGAGATGGTTGCCTACATGAGTGAAGGCACCTTCCATGATGCTCTGTGCTCGAGGACCTGATGCGATGGCGCTGTTTTTTCTGCTTTGTCGCAGTCAGCAGCTGAGGGGATGGGCATGGCGCACGGCACCTTCACGGCCTGCAGATGCCTGCGCGGCAAGAATCGTGGGCCAAAAAGCTCACCTCTGGGCAGTGAATAGAGCCCGACGTGGCAGCTCGGACGGAATGAGTTGTGAGATTCCGAAGTTCCAGTCGTGGGTGCGTTTCACATCATCGCGGTGAAGAATGCGTCGCAGGACAGTTGATCGGGTGGCCGCACGATGGTCTTTTGGGCCTGTAACTGCTTGAGGGAGACAAGTAGAGGCGAGACCGAAAGCAGCCTCTTCAGGAGTCAGAATTTGCCGGTCCAGCGACTTGGGATTTGGCTGCGAAAGCGAACCAGCCGGACCCTCTCTCAAGCGGAGTTCGGTGGGACACTTTGACTCCACGTGATAAACGTCAGGGCCATTTTATCGATAAGCGGCGGATTGTCGGCGACCACGATAAGGCGACTTTTTTTCTTCCCGCACTCGACACTTGATCCATTACTAGGCTGTCAACCGAGTTTCTCCAAGTGCGATCTCGACGTGCTACGACTTTGATACATCACCAGGTTTTCCATCAAGCTTCTCCAATTCAATTCAAAATAACGTAGCCAAAATGATTGTGAGTGTTCACGACCCGGTCTTTACAGTCGAGGCAGACGTCTAACACACACGGAAAGCGCAAACAAGCACGCCAACGGCGGGATTATCTGTATCGGAGGGCCCTGCTTCTGCGAGACGCCGAGATTAGCGAGAAGCGAGCCAAGCTACGAGCATCGTTGGCATCGGGAAAGCCCCTGGATCCGTCCATCGCAAACGACAAGGCTCTGCGCAAAGACTACGCATACGATGAATCCACCCCCGACCTGAACACCAACGAGAAGCTCGATCTGGATGACGAGTTTGCCCAGTTGTCTGGCATTATAGATCCGCGGGTTCTCGTGACGACGTCGCGGTCTCCCTCGGCTAGGTTATCTGCCTTTTCCAAGGAAATCAGACTGCTGCTGCCCACGTCGATACGGATGAACCGAGGAAACCTCATTCTCCCAAACTTGGTCCAATCTGCGCAGTCTGCAGGCTTGACCGACATTGTTGTCCTGCACGAGCATCGCGGTACGCCCACGGCTCTGACTCTGACACACTTTCCTCACGGCCCCACGGTGTCTTTTTCTCTTCACAACGTTGTTCTGCGTCACGACATCCCCGGAAGCGTGCGTGGGACAGTGAGCGAGTCGTATCCTCACCTCATCTTTGACGGATTCACGACGCCATTGGGTCAGCGGCTGGTCAAGATCCTGAAACACATTTTCCCTCCGCGAGAGGCCATCACGAGCAGAAACAAAATGGGCAACAGAGTCGTGACGTTTAAGAACCTTGAAGACAGCATCGAAGTCAGGCACCATGTCTTTGTGCGAACGGGATACGATAGCGTGGAGCTGGCCGAGGTCGGCCCGAGAATGACGATGAGGCCATTCGAGATCCGAGGTGGCACGCTTGAAAACAAGGACGGCGACGTCGAATGGCACCTAAGCCAGTACACGCGAACAGCCAAGAAGAAGAATTACCTTTGAGCGAGAATCTCGCACAGCGTTATCAGTCTGAAACAAGTCACCGGATGATGAGCCGTGGAGAGGTGAAGCCGAGCCGCGCGTGGACGACGAGGACAATTGATGGCGATTGTTGAGCACTTAGCCAGCGAGGTGTAGTATAGTACCTGTAGCGCCTCTGATGAGCTCCAGTCTGGATTCCGCGGAGATAAGGCAGGCAAAGCACAGCTTGCAGCTGCAGACAAGCCTGCCGGTCGAGAGAGGGCAACGGGGACTTGGCGGTTACAGTCTATCGGCTCATGGCGGTCAAAGGTGCCGGGCGGCAGTTGTGGTTCGACGTCGGTTATCAAGGACGGCGGCGCAGTCGGATTGAGCGTCGGCGTGGGCGGTAAGAAGGACGGGTCGCAACGCGAGACGGATGTCAAAACGAGTACCTGCTTAGAGACAAGGGGAAGGGGAGGATTGTGCTTGAGGCGACGTGGGGGCAATGCATTGTAGATTGAGAGTCGGATATACCTTACGGAATACGGAGTAGGTACCTTGGTGAGTGGATGCAAAGCCACACACGGTACGGAGCAAGAGATGTAGCTGCTCAGCCACAGCAGCCTCAATGGCTGACGACAAATGGCCAGAGGTTCGTGAGAGCGGGCGTGAAATGCGGCGCAGTTGCAATTGGAAGAGAGGAGGCTCTCTATTTTTGGGACACAAGCGTCCACACTGCCTTTGGAGGCTCACAAGGAAAAGACACGCGCGGCGACGGGGCTGTTGGGTCGTGGGCCTTGTCGTCCGTGCACGCCCGCAGGATGGAAAGGGGATGATCCCTGCAGGTGTTTGTTTTCGGTTGGTAAGTGTTTCAATCCTTTACAAGATGGATGTACTTGCAATGCCCTCTGCCATCATCTTGCGCGGTGGGTGGCCGTTATACTTTCGTATTCTTGGAACGCGTTTCTCTGGAGACCCTGGGAATCCGTTGGCTTAGTAGGTACCTCTAAGCCCCGTGTGCACTGGCTGAATGGTGACGTATGTAGGTACGTAGTGGGTGGTATGTACCTATGTACAGTAATATGCTTATCGTACTCCGTACTGTAAAACAAGAGGTACAAGGTACTCCGTACCTGCTGCCTGTGTTTACCCAAACAATTATTAGCCTCGGCGATCGCTTCTGTGAGCCTTCTGTGCCTTTAGTGGGCCCTCCTCCTCCTCCGCCTCGTCCCCGCCCCTCCGAGCCTAGATGGAGGCGGAATTTGACTCCCGGCTTGTCTTTCAGTGGGCTTGTCAGGCAGTAATAACTAAAGGCTCTGCGCATACTGCGGTGCCACAGCATCAGTCATCGTCTCCCTACATCTCACACCAAGGGCCCTGCAAGTCTCACGCCGCTCCGACCACCGCCGCTAAGGCTCTCTGAGCTTGCACTTGGCCCATCCCAGCCCTTTCTCCTCCACTGCTCTTCTCGGCATCTTTCCACTTCTTCTCCCCTCCCCCTCCCTCCCCGCGCGCTGCTTCATACCGCAGCCGTCCCTCCTCCTCTCCAGCCCAGCAACGCCAAGACAAAGCGCGCAACAATGTCGTACGGGCAGCAGAGTCAGAATCCGTACCATCAAGGTCCGGCCCAGGACGTGAACCAAGGCTACGGCCAGGTAAGCCAGCAACCAAGCTGCGACTCTCTGCCGGCGACTTCTAACCCGCCCTCGCGGCTCAGGCCAATCCCTACGCACAGGACCAGTACGAGATGCAAGACTACAACAGCCAGCAGCCTGCGGCCCTGACCCAACAAGACTTCCTCAATCGCGTCCAGAACCTCCGCAACGACATCAAGAGCCTCACAAACGACATTGACTACATTGGCCAGCTCCATCAGCGCGCCCTCGGCAGCACCGACGGCCAGGCCAAGCAGCAGCTCGAGCAGTACGTCTCCCAGACCCAGATCCGCAACACGGCGATCAAGGACGGCATCAAGGGCCTCGAGCGCGACCTCGCCCGCACCTCCGACTCGTCCCGCACCACGAAGAACACGCAATTGCAGTCCCTCAAGACCTTTTTCAAGTCGGAGCTGGACAAGTACCAGAGCATCGAGCGCGACTACCAGCACAAGTACCGCGAGCAGATTGCCAGGCAATACCGCATCGTCAACCCGGACGCCACCGACGACGAGGTCCAGCAGGCCGCCGAGGCCGATTGGGGCAATGAGGGTGTTTTTCAAACTGCTGTATGTCCCACCCCCTCAGACAAGTTTTCAACACCACCCCTGCGCGCTTGTTGGCTCTTGTGGCCCGAGTTTCCGCTGACGTGCCCACCCTGCCACACAGCTTCGCACAAACCGCACCGGCCACGCCAGCTCCGTCCTGGGCAACGTGCGCGCGCGCCACAGCGAGCTGCAGCGCATCGAGCAGACCCTCTCCGAGCTCGCCTTCCTCTACCAGGAGCTCGCCACCCTCGTCGAGCAACAAGACCCCGTCGTCCAGGCTGCCGAGACCAATGCCCAGAACACGGTCGACAACATCGAAAAGGGCAACGAGCAAGTCAAGCAGGCCAACGAGCACGCCCGCCGCCGCCGCAAGCTCAAGTGGTGGTGCTTCCTCGTCGTCGTCCTCATCATCCTGGCCATCGCGCTGGGTGTCGGCCTCGGCATCTGTCTTGGCACCAACAGGTGTAATAAACAAGGCTGAGCCGTGCTCGCGACAGAGGAGGGGACATTGCCGCTCAGAAATACCGAGACGGGAGGTGCAAGGGGGCGATGAGGCGTGAGAGCGACATGTGGGAGTAATTGACGCGCTCAAGAAGTCCTGAGGGATGATACCTTCTCACGCTTTAGTTAACTCGGCCATTGCAGGAGGAGCCGGTACGGACGTCTTTTCCCTCCCACCAGATGACATCCTCGACTCGATCACAGCCCACGTCTTTTTTTAATCACTCGGGTGTTTACGAATACCCACACCCGTGCATGGCACAAGCCGGAGAGGGGGGCAGCTTTTGAAAAAGCCCCTGGAAGCGCAGAGGTTTATCTTTTTCTCCTTCTCTACTATTTTCTGCATCCTTCTTCACGAAGGGCAAGGGCAACGAAACGAGGCTTACGATGATGGGGAGTGGGGAGAGGCTCCGGGGAACTGTAATTATCGTAGGTGGTGGCCTGGGTTTTGTGTATTTGGATTCCCCCCCATTCGAGGCTCACTTTGTGTCGCGGGTGTATTATTCTCTTGTCCATCATTCTACTTCTTCTTCTTCTTTTTCCCTGACGATTTGTTGACATGAAGGATGAAAAATCTATCCAGAGGTGCGGAAGGGAGTAATAATTTGTCGGGACACTTGCTCAAACAACAGAGATGTTTCGCAAACCAGCAAAGAGGCTGAGCACAAGTCTCGGTACGGAGCAGAATGATTGCTTTTCTTTGACTTGCTTCACCTTGCCGTCCTCTTCACGTCCAAATACCTAGGTAGTACAAGAGATCACGTTGCGCTTCCCAGCACAGCGGGCGACCAACCTCAACTCGAGGGGGGGAAAGGGGGGGGTGCCATTCAAGACCCAGGTAAACAACGAAAAGAAAAGGGGAAAACAAAAGATAAATGTACAAGGCTGCTTGGGTGAATGTCTTGCTCCATGCTTTGCACAGCATCCACAACTCCCCAGAAGTGACCACCCATCCTCCGGGCGGACCGGCGAGCCCTTCCACTTCCCGAGTGAAGGCCCCCCGCCAGGCCGCCAGCTCGATTTGCCGGATAAACCAATAGACTGTCCCTTCCCCGCGCTGAGCAAAGGGAGTGCACGCGTCTTCCCAGCTCTTGGGCACATGCTCCCGACCAGCTGCCACGAGTCCCTCCATGGTACCGCTCTTGCGTCCGCGCAGCTGTATACTAAGGTTAGACAAGACTCCCGTTATCTAAGGGCCCATTCGGAGTCCGGGGGCCCCGGGACCGGCGCCGCCCGCCAGCTTGGCCGCCAGCTTCGGGTACTTCTGCGTTACCTGCACCTGCGTCCGTGTCGCCTCGGCATAGGAAAGGGCGTTGACAATCTCTCCCTCGGTCCGGGCAAGCTCCGCTGCGCGCTCAAAGTACTTGAGGGCCTCGGTCACGTTGTTCTGCTGCAGGAGGAGCTGCGCCATGGTGGCCACGGCGATGTCACACTCGGGATCAACTACCAGCAGGGTCAGCCATGGCATCGTCCACACGACCCTCATCAGTGGCCGGGACAGGGGCGAACTTACTAATCAGGGCCTTTTGGCACAGCTTCTCTGCCTCCTTGAAGTCCTGCTTCCACTGGAACATGGCGAGGGCCTTGTTGATGAGGGGCAGCACGTTGATAGACATGGGCTTGGTCTGCTTCTCCATCTCCATGGCCGTGTCAAACTTCTCAATGGCCTCGGCAAAGTTGCTCTGGTCGAGCAGCAGCTCGCCGTAGTAGTTGTAGACGTCGGGGACCTTGGGGAAGTTCTTGATGCATCGCCGGAAGGTGGCCATGGACGAGGCAATCGAGCCCAGCTTGTACTGCGTCACGCCCAGCTGGATATGGGAGAAGATGAAGTTCTTGTCCAGGTCGATGGACTTTTGGTAGTCCTTTTGGGCCTCGGGCAGATTGCCCTTGATGAAGTTTGCCTGGGCCCGGTGGTAGTAGACGTCGGGGTCGTCCTTGCTCTGCTCGAGGGCCTGGAGGAACTCGGCGTCAGCCTTGTCAGCCTCCCCGAGCTCCAGACTGACGCTGGCGCGCTTGATGTAGGCCTGGATCATGGCAGGGTCAAGCTCGGTGCTCTTGTTAAAGTCCTTGACGGCGTCGGCGTGGTTGCCGAGGAGAGTTCGCATGGTACCCCTCCAGTTGTAGGCCAGGGCCTCGTGCTCATCCAGGCCACCCAGCTCGACGGCCTTTTCAAACGCCAGCCTGGCGTCCTCGTACCCCTCGGCCGTCTTCTTCTCGAGAGCCTGGAGGCCCAGCTGCAGCTGGCCCTTGCCTGTGTCCGAGCCGAGCTCGACCGAGTCATCAAGGCCTTCGGGGCGGGGCTTTGGCCGGAAGCTCTGGAGGTAGTTGCCGACGTAGACGGCGCTTGGTAGCTTGGGAGGCCTAGAGGCCATCAACTCCTTGGCCCTATGCTCGGCAAAGACCCTGAGCAGCCTCTCGACGGCCTCGGCGGTCGAGTTGTTCTTGAAGTTGTCGATGATGCACGAGGCGGTGAAGTCGAGGAGGGCCTCGGCGTACATTTTCTGATGCTCGTAGGCGGTGGCGCGGCGGTTGATGGCCTTGACGTAGTCGGCGTCCATGTTGATAGCGGCCGTGGTGTCCTCGACAACCTTGTCCCAGTCGCTCATGGCGCTGTAGCAAGCGGCTCGATTCGCGTAGAAGACGGGATCGGGCTTGCACAAGATGGCCTTTGAGTAGAGATGGATAGCCTTGTTGTAGGCCTTGTCACCGTAGGCACTGTTTCCGGCCTGTTTGAGTTTGGCGGCATATTCCTCGCGCTGCTCTTGGGTGAAGGCGGCGACCGACGTCTCGTTGATGTCGGGGAGCTCCGACTCGCTCTGGACCGAGGCGGTCTTTGACTGAGACGGTGCGGGGCTGTCCTTGGACTCGGTGGCCTTGCGCTCGGCTTCTTTTCGCTTCCGCCTCTCCTTTTTGCTGAGCTTGGGGGTAGAATCCGCCTTTTGTTTCTGGGAGTGAGAGATTGGGAGAGTCAGCATCCAAGAGTGTTGCGGGGAGAGGACAAGACATACGGAATCGGAGTTGAGATAGTAGACGACACCTGCACCGGTGACGACGACGGCGACCCCGGCGATGGTGTAGACGACGGCCTTGTTGTCGGACACCCACGAGGTTATTCGGTCCCAGGTGGAAGATGGAGCGTCGATGGGAATGGCCGTAGGGCGGCCCGGAGGCATTGACGGCAGCGGGTTGGACATTGTGGATCAAACAAGATGTGCGCAGAAGAATATTAGCGGGGGGAGGGAGGGGGAGGAGGCCGCTCAGAGGGCACGGAGGAGGCGGCGCGTTGGGGCGCAGAAAGGCGAGATGTTGTAGGTGGTGGATGATGATGATGAACAAGAAAAAGCTGCTGTGCCGATACCTCAGATAAGGTACAAAGTACCTGCCATCCAATCATGGAAGCTCCCCGAAATTTGCAGCCCCGCTAAAAGCTCGGCTCAACTGCCTGTAACCTGCCGCTGTCGAAAGACTAGCGCGCGTTGGAGGCCGTCAGCAAGAGTGCTTCTTCCACTTCAAAGGGAATGTGGTTTTAGATGCTCCTGGTACAAATGTCTAAAAGGAACGCGATATCCTCCGAAAAGAAAAGGAAACTTTTGAAGAAAAAATTACGGCCCGGTGTTTCTGAGCGTCGGTGCCTGCAAACGTGAATCTGAGAAACCATCACTCCGTTGCAATCCCAACCCTTTCACCCGCATGAAACCCCTGCACGCTCCCTAGCCACAGCCGTGACACCTCTCATCCCCGCCGCGCAACGAATCATTGGAGCCTCCGCGTTTAGGAGAAACAGCCTCCTCTTGTGCGGCGTCGGCTCGTTTGCCTTGTCCCGCGGACCCTGGCCACTGCCCTTCCCGGTCCCCGTCCTCGTCGAGCAGACTGACCCGGTCAGAGGTCACCTCGATTGAGTCATTCGGAGGGACTCTTCCTCTCCGGCGCGGGCCGAGTCCGCTCTCCTTGAGCGGCCAGATATCAACAACGTGCCTGGCCATTCATTGCTCACAGAGCTTGGAACGTCCTCGGACCGCTCGGCGACGCTTGTATCCAATCCTCTTGCTTCGTACACCCGGCGACAATGTCGGATTCCGCTTTTTCCCTCTTCACTTCGCTGCGGTACGACGTCGCCCTGCAGCAGGTCCCTGCCAGGGGCTTGGACTACGCCGGATGGAACCACCACACCCAATCGCCCTTTTACATGCTCGACTACCACCGCGACCGCATCCTCAAAGCTGCCGTCCACTGGCAATGGAAGGAGGCGGTGGAAAAACTGTCCGGCGACGACGCTCTCGTCCAGCTTGCCCGAGTGGCCCAGGAAGCCATCGGCAGCACGTCGGATCCGAAGCCACTCCGGCTCCGGATCGTCGTCGACAGCAACGGCGACATCGCCTTTCAACACTTTGACACGCCAGCCTTGCCGCTCGAGAACCTGCTGCCGAAGCGGCTGCCGAATCCTGGCTCGGCGCCCGGCCCCAACGAACCCAAGGTGCCTCCTCGCTTCACCCTGGTTGTCGACGACGATCCGACCCCCAGGTCTGAGTTTACGCACTTCAAGACGACCAAGCGGGTCATGTACGATGCTGCCCGCCAGAGAGCCGGCATTACTGACCCGCGAGACCAGAAGGAGGTGCTTATCATCAACGACAAGTCGGTCATGGAGGGCAGCACGACGACGCCTTACTTTTGGCGCAGCGGCAGATGGGTCACGCCGCCCGTTTCTCCCATCTTTAGCTGGGATGACGGCTGCGGGGGACAGGATGGTACTTCCCGGCGCTGGGCGCTGCAAAGGTGCGTGTGGCTCTCTTTCATCCGTCCGTGTCTGGCTGCTAATCCCGGATTGCTCCAAAATACAGAGGGCTGGCAGTTGAGCAAGCCGTTCCCGTCGACTCTCTCGTTGACGGCGAGGAGTGCTGGATCAGCAGCGGCGTCAGCGGATTTCGACTGGCAGTCGTCAGCTTGAGACGGACTGCTTAAGGCGCTGTGGAAGGAGCAGGAAACGTCACGTCAACGCAACGAATGGGCCTGTCCCTCAAGAGTCCTTGAATAGCAAACTCCCTGTTTGGCCTAGTATATCTATCACACAACCATAGGCACAAGCCTGTCCTCGGGGCTACATCCAGCCAGTTCCCTCAACCCTGACGTCTTCTGGCACACCCGAGCTGCGATCTCTCTCTCATCCTCTCTTCTTCTGTTCATTTGGTGTTTGAAAAAGCATGCGTCTTCCGTCAAGTTGCGAGTCGACTTCCAAGGACCGACCACAGCGAAAGGGGTAAACAGAGGGAATAACGAAGAACCAGATAGCACAAGCAAGTGAAGAGGATAAGACCCCCGTTGAATCAAATCTCCATGGACGTCTCCCATTCCCCTTCTTCAAACCCGTCGGGCAGTTCGAATGCGGGACTCGCAGGCCTTGGCGGCAGCTCCGACTCCGGCGCGGGCGGCGCGAGGAAGAGGTGGCGATACTGGTACTCGGGGACGGGCGTGAGGCCGCGCAGCGCACGCCTCTCGTTGACGGCTCGCTGGACGCAGCCGAGGGCCTGGAAGTCGACCTTGGCCGAGGTCCCGAGGTCGCGGTTGGGGAAGCCGGCGTCGTACACGTCCTCGCGCCAGTGGCGGCTGGCACCGCGCTCGTCGTAGCCGCAGGACGTGGTGCTGAAGTGGCAGAGCTTCTCGAGGCGCGCAATTTCTGGCAGCACGTCGGCCCATCTGCTGGTGGTGAGAAGCACGCGGTTCAGCTCCAGCGTGTGCAGCGTCCCGGCGCTTTCGACGGTCACGCTCAGCAGTGCGCGGCTGGGCAAGCTCACCCCCGCGAGGTGCACCGTGCGCAGGCTGAGAAACGTCTGGCCTGCGAGGCCGGCGAGGTTGACGTGTTCGCAGCGCGTGCTGATGGAGAGGCTCTCCAGGTCGAGGTTGGGCGTCTTGTCCAGGACACCGAGGAGCAGCGCCGCGTACCCGCGCTTCGGCAGCGGCCCCGCCTGGCCCAGCTCCTTCATCTCGTCCCATGGGAAGCCGGCGTTGTCGATATTGTCCCAGATGCCGAGATCCACATGACGGAGGCGCCGCACCACCGTGTTCATGGACAGCTGCCCCGGCGACTCGCCAGCCAGCTGCTGCAGCTCGACCGAGGCAGGCAGCCAGAGACTCAGCCTCCTGAGATACGGCAGGGGCACACGGCGCAGCGCCTTGATAAAGGCCTCAGTCACTTTGTTTGAATTGCCCATTTCCTCGAACAAATCCTCGGGCCTCTCGTTTGTCCTCGACGAGTATCCCACCAAGTTGCGCACCGCCAGCGTCTCGAGGCGACCCGCCCTTGCCATAAAGATGGGCAGCACAAACGCGAGGTTCCGGAGGTAGCAGCCGATCCAATAGCGGTCCACGCAGTTGCGCGGCACGTCAAAGTTGACCCGGAAGTGGCGGATGCAGTCGTTGTAGATGTTGTCGCTGAAGGTAAGCAGAGCCTCAAGCCGCGTCATGTTGACCACGCTCGACTTGGTCACGTCATACGACACGTCGATGTGGCTGAAGAGGAGCTGCGATGCCACGGCGCAAAAGGCTCGGTTCACAAGGCGCAGGTTGGCCAGGTTTCGCTTGCTTTGCTGGTTGCGAAGGCCGTCTGGCATGAGCTCGTTCCAGGCCTTGTTGCCGAGGCCCTGGTAGAGGTGACTCCAGGCATGGCTATTGCCGCTCTCGACGTTGACGACAATCTATACGGGTGAGCGAGCCGTTTTGAGGGCGCCTTTTCGACGACAAGTGCTGGGGAGGGAGGAGAAACAAAAGAAGCGCTTCAGGTCGGGAAGAGGGAAAGAAAGGGGAAATGGCATACAAGCCTAAGAATATCCAGAGTCGCGTTTCCAAGGCTCATGTTGTCGAGATGACCGAAAGTCGGCGCGTTTTTCCAGATAAAAGGAAGCAAAGGATGCGAGAAAAGGATGAGGGATGAAAAAAGTGCGCGATGCCAATGAGTTTCCTTCAACTCGGCGCCGTTTCCATCTGGTCACGAGAACGACGTTTACTCGGTTGTCCACGCAACAGGCACTCTTGGCCAATCACATCGAGTGCTGTCGACTGACGCGGCAGCTGGGCGCGTAGCTCCTGCTGGGCAGCTGGCGAGCCGTTGCCAGGTGGCTCGGACTATGAATCTCTGCTCCTTACGGGACTGTCTGCTGCCCTCTGTCAAGTGCAAGAGAAAAGGTATGTAAGTCTTTCAACCCCATTGCTCCCTGACGCCCTCTCTGGCAGATTTCTAGAGCCCAACACAGTAGTAGACATGCAGAGTCCGGATGCGCTTCGCCTTGCCTGTACGCGCCCGTGCAAGCAGCAAGACCCGTCCCCTCGCCGAGCAGCAATGCCTCCTTTGCTCCGTTCGACGCCCCTGGCCGGCTGGCTAATCCTGAGCGCTGCTGGTGCCGCTCCTCTGCCCGATGCTCTCCTCGTACTCTGTCCAGCGCAGCGCCTCCTCCACGTCCATGACAAAGTGCGACTCACCGCCGCACAGCGCCACGATGCCGCTCCGCTCCATGAGATGCCATACCGGGTGATTGCGTCGGGACGGCCCACGAGAGAAGAAGACGCGCACCCCGCGCGCCCGGTAGCTCTGCACAATCTCCTCCAGGACCTGGGTCCCAGACCCGTCCATCGACGTCACCCCGTGAATGTCGAATATGATGTTGCGGTTCGACTCTTGACTGCGTATCCGCGGCAGCGCCGGGTGCGCCCTCGACGTCCCGTACAGCTCGAGCCGGCGCAGCCGCGCCTTGAGCTCCCCGGTGTTGGCAAAGGTCAGTGGCTCGGGGATCTTGACGATGAGGCACCCTTCGATAAACTCCAGGCTCGGGTTGTCCGCCTCGGCGTTTTCGAAGCGGTTTGTGCCTGGGATGCGGCCCAAGATCTGGATCCTAGGCCTCGTGCTGTGCTTGATGACGAGCAGGATGGAGATGCCCACGCCGAGAGCTATGCCCAGGGCGAGCGAGTAGAATATGGTCGAGAGAAATATGATGGCCATGAGCGACAGTTCCTTCCAGCCACCGATACGCACGAAGAATGAGATGTCGTGGGGTGCTTCTTCTATCAGCGACCACGCCACCACGGAAATCATGGCCGAAAGCACGGGCTTCTGCACACTTGGTCAGCATCGACCACGACGAACTTCATACATTGGTATACTCACCGGTAGGTAGTAAAACTGGGGCAGGAGAAACAGGATGGACAGCAGGGAAATCAAGCTCAGGAAAATGGAGCTCATCGGGCTCTTGCCGCCCGTCGACTTGTTCACCTTGCTTCGCCCGTAGCCTCCAAATGCAGGCAAGCTCATGAAGCTGGCTCCCACCAGGTTGGCGACGCCTAGCGCAATCATCTCGCGGTTGGCACTCAGCTCCATGCCCTGGATCGTGTCACTGCCCCCGAGACTCTTGGCTGCCACGGACGACTCGAAGAAGCCGAGCAACGCGATGAGAAACGACGTTGACATGGCGTCACGGATGTGGCGCATGTGCGAGAGCTGAAAGGGCCAGCGAAAGACGAAGAGGTTGCCAGTGGCGGCCCTGACGGTGCCGAGGACGTCGACTCCTTGCTCATCCCATCTGAAGTGGGCACAGAGAATGGCAGACGCGACAACGATAAGGAATCGGTCGGGGATGAAGACGACGGAGGGGAAACGTGGCTCGAGCCGCTTCTTGAGTTCACTTGACAAGAGTTAGCATGGCCGACGTCACATCCCAGGACGCCCGGAGCCTAGCCTTACCGACAGGTCATGATGACGAGGAAGCTGATGCCGGCAATGGCAAATGTTAAGTGATGGACGTCGCCGGCGTGTTCGATCATGAAGCGTATCTTGTCGACGCTGCTGCCGTGGCTGACTCTGGTATCGTCTGCGAGGTCGTTGAGCCCCAGTTCGGGAATCAGTTGGTCGACGGCGATGACGAACCCAATGGCGCTGATGAAGCCTCGCAGGAACGGCCTGCTCAGCACGCTGTCCAGGAAGCCCAGCCTGGCCAGACCGGCGATGAGGATGGTTGCCCCGGCCATGCCGGCGACCACGCCGCAAACCTGGGCGTGGAGAAGGGCGTCATTCTCGGAGCCGTGGCCTGAGTCGACGCTGTGCTGGACGACGCTGCCGACGAGAAGGGAGCCTGCCGCTTCCGGGCCGACGACCATCTGCGGGCACGAGCCCAAGAGGGCGTAGACGAAGGGGTTGAAGACAAACGAGTAGAGCCCGTGGATGGGCGGGACGTGAGCGAGATTGGAGGCGAGAGAGAGGCCCATGGGCAGGTAGAAGGAGGCCATGGTCAAGGCAGCGATGAGATCGCCCTTGAGGTAGGACATTTTGTACTGCCCGATCCAGTTGAAGAAGGGGATGTAGTAGGCCAAGTACCTGGCCGATTCTGTCAGCGGTTCGCACTCGCAGGGCGGGTCGATTGGTGGCACTCACATCAAGGGCGTGAATCGAAAGCCGGCCTGCTGGGCGAGCTGGCTGCTCTGGTCCATCTTCTTAGTCCGCATCCTGGCCTTGAGCCACCTCTTCCAGTCGTCCGTGCCGCCGAGATGAGAAGCCGTGCTATCGAGCGAGACGACCGAGGCGCCCGAGCCCATGGCATCGCCGTTGCCGCCGCCGAGGCCATTCGTCGGACTGGACGGGCGGGGACTAAAGGTGCCGTGGTTGCAGACGCCGGGATGGACGCTGCACCGCTGGGCACCGTTGGCAACGAGCGGCGTCGACTCGCCGGCTGGCCCGTCGACCATTGGACGGCGCGAGGCGGCATCGCTGCCCTGGCTGTGGGCGCGACGGACGACAGGGGGGGTGTGGCTCTGGCGCAGTGCGCTCGGCTGCAGCGGACGATGACCGTTGGAGGCCGAGTTCTCGCGGCTGCGCGAGGGCCGACTTCCTGTCATGTTGCCGGCGCTGTCGTCGTCGTCGTCGTCGTCGTCGTTGTCGCCGCCACAGGCATCGGAAGGAGTGGCGCGAGTGTGAGCCTGCAATGTCGGAACCGTAGATGGTTTTCTCTGCTTGCTTCTCGTCGGGCCGCGGCAACGAGGCGGCGCCCTGCCACGGGGGGGAGTAATGCGGCTGAATTCGGAGGTTTCGGAGGGCGCTGGTTTTTGTCAGGCGGCAAAGCAGCGGAATCGTCGGCACGGTCTAGATGCGCAATGGCCAAACAATCTTCGAGGTCACATTGCCCGATCTCTTGACCCTCCCTTTTTTGTCGCAAGGAACGAGACAGGGGTTGCACAGCAGCCAGCTGCGCCAGGGGGCATGTGCAGAGTAACACAGAGCAGGTGGAACAGAGTGCACCCACTACAGGCTCGTCACCGGGCACTCTTTCGTAGCGCGCCCTACGCCTCACATCCTGTTCCTCGTACTTTATGGATACCGGCAAGCAAGGCAACAAATCCTACATGAAATATCGACTTGACGAGTTATACATACAGTGCGCACGGGTCCAGATCCAATCTACCGCCTTGGGCACGTGAACGTCATTCTCCAGGCACATGCAGATCGGGCCGGCGAGTGGCTTGCGTCCCATGCGGAGTACGTACTTGAGAACTTGCAGTGAGTTTGAAATGCCGTGGGGTCGGTGCTCAAAGAAGGTACAGTGGGTGTATCGGTGGTACAGGCTATCTGGTCGACCTGCTTTAGAAAGTTAAAGCGTGCCTAGCTCGAATGTCTCACAAAAAAAAACAAAAAGGTAGTCAAGCCGGGACCGATTCTCGAGGTACCTCACTTGATTACAAAGTTGTGCATTATTCAACTCTCTTATCTACCAAGAGCCAATGCCACTGCGGCGGCAGTCCGCGATCTCACGCCTACTCTATACAGAGACAGTGGGCAGGTAGACACCTCGATGCCGAGTAGCTGAGTACAAGAACATAATGCTTTGATCCCACAAAAGACTACATTTCGTTGACCAGCAGGCCCGCCATGCCCTGCCCAGTCCCTATGCACATGCTGACCAGCAGCATCTTCTTCTGCGATCGCCGTAGCTCGCTCAGGCCCGTGACGATCTGTCTCGCGCCCGTCGCACCGAGCGGGTGGCCCAGCGCAATAGCCCCGCCGCGTGGGTTCATCTTGTCCCACTCGAGACCCAGCTTGTCCCGGCAGTAGACGGCCATGGACGCAAACGCCTCGTTGACCTCAATCACGTCCATGTCGGCGAGCGTGACGTTGTAGATGGACAGCAGCTTGGGAATGGCGATGCTGGGGCCGATGCCCATGATGCGCGGTGCCAGGCCGGCGACGGTGGAGCCGACGTACTTGGCTAGGATGGGCTGGCCGAGCCGAACGGCCGTCGACCGCTTCATCATTATGAGAGCGGCGGCTGAGGTTCTCTTCTGATTAGCCTCTCGCCCCAGGTCGCTTGTGGCTTGCAAGACTTGGGCCGCAGTTTCTCACCTCCGTCCGTTACCTGGCTGGCATTGCCGCCGGTCGTGGTAGGTCCCCACTGCGGAAAGGCCGGTCGAACCTTGGACAAGCTCTCCGACGTGGTCCCGGGCCGGATGCCCTCGTCCTTGGTCAGAGTAACCTCCTTCCACTCGCCGTCGGGGCCCTTGATCTTGGTCGTGATGGGGACAATTTCATCGTCAAACAGACCGGCCTTTTGTGCCTTTTCCGCTCTCTGGAAGCTCTCGGCCGCGTACTTGTCCATCTCTTCCCGGGCAATGTTGAAGTCGCGGCTCACATTCTCGCTAGTCCAGCCCATGGGCTGCATGCAGTCGGCGGCCTCTTGGCTCTGGTTCAGGACAGTCTCGTCAAAGGGCTTCTCGAGACGGTCGCCGCCCTCGGACATGGTCTCGGCGCCGCAGGCGATGCCAACCTGGATCGAGTTGTTGGCGATGGCATGCGCAATGTCGGCCGTCGCCTTCAGCCCCGAGGAGCAGAAGCGATTCACCGAGTAGGCGCCGGCGGTGTTGGGGAAGCCGGCAGCCAAGGCGGCGGCACGGAGCTTGTAGGCGGCTTTGCCATCCGACACCTGCAGGCCCCGAACGTGGTGAGCGACGGCCTACATCAAGGGAAGGGGGGTTGACTTGCGTTTCCGAGGGCAATGTCCTCGACAAGGGCGGGGTCGAGGCCGCTGCGGTTCTTGACTTCCTTGAGGAGAGCGTAGACCATGTACTCGAGGCTCGTGTCCTTGAAGCCGCCTTTTTTGGCCTTTGTCAAAGGCGTGCGTATCGCCAGGGTAATGACGACGTCGTCGGCATTCTTGGATTGGCTGGAGCAGAGAACATTGCCAGTCAGCGGGCAATCAAGGTTGAGCTAGATGCGATGGAGGAATACATCTTGCTCAACGACGACCCAGGCGCCAGGTGCTTGATGATGGAACCGATGCGCTCGACAGCCATCGCGAAGGTGCCTGTCTGTGGGAGGATGAAGCTGGTAGAGGAGCAACATGCACACTTGGCACGGGAAAGGTTGTTATGGGCGTGTCGGCAGAGGGCGGTCTACGGCGAATGCTGTCGTCGACGGGATGGACGGAAGACCGAAGGGTCCGCCGGCATGGGGTCGATGAGCCGAGGCAAAAGGAAGAAGTGTGCTGACTAATGAATCGTGCTGCAACAGAATGGCAAACTCGTTCATTTTCTCCTTCTCCCAGTGCTTTCACTTAATCTTCCCTCAGTCTATCCGTAAGAAGGCCTTGGACTCCATTTCCTCTCCCAGTATCTGTCGTGAGGCGTCCCCTTCAGATGCATCGGCGTCTCCGGAGCATCGTGATTGATGGCCGCCAGTTGCCGACTGCAGATGGAGAGTCAGTTGACATTTATCGAGTTGGGGGACAAATAAATAACTATGCGCCTACGGTTCATTCACTCGATATTTGAAGTGAGATCTCTGTACCAAGTAACTTACACGTCAACGAGATCTGGCCACGAAGCCGTGGCTGCTGGCCCCTACCTACCCCAAGCCCAGTGAAGCCGTTGCGGCTACAGAGTGTCTGACCTCCTGCAGAGCACTCACTAATTACTACTCCGTAGTAGCTGACATGGACCCGCCACGGCGCTTCTGGCGCTCGCGTCGACCCGGCCCGAACCCCCTGGACAAGTGACAGACTGGGTGCGGGTGCCTCGTATTGAAAAAGCTCCGGGATCCTCTTTTGAATTTGCACCACCTGCCCAGCAAGGAAGGAAGTGGAGGGTCATGAACCACTCGCCAGTCTTCCCACCCCTGGCCATGTGGCTGCAGCAAAATGCAGCTTTCAGGTCGCGTCCAGGTTCCCATTTCCTTGTCCCTCTTTGCCCTTTCCCTCCTCCTCTTTCGCTCATCCCGCTGTGGCCTCTTTTCGTCGCTCCTTAGCCCCTTGATGCGCCATCGTCCACCGACTATAGAGACCTCAGACGACAGCCCACCACCGTTGCGACCGACAGCGACGACGCCCAGGCGCCATTCGAAGCCCGCTCGAAGCCTTCGCTTTCCAACTCTCTTCCTGTCGCAATGACGACGCTTTAGAGCTGCCCTTTCGGCTCGATTGCTTTCCACTTCCCATTCCTCAATCCCGCCAACTTCCGATTTGGCGAACCCATCGTCTGTCGCCTCAATTCTATTTTTTGGACGTCTCTTTATCGCAGTCGAATACCCCCAATCTCCGTCCCCCGGAACAATTCTCTCCACCATGAGGCTTCTCGCCGGACTACTCGCCGCTTCTGCCCTCGGACAGGCGGCCTCGTCGAAGCGCGGACTCTGCTTCACGCCAAACGAGAATCACCCCGAGGACAACCAAGTCTGGGTCAAGCCTGGTAGTGACCTGAAATGGTATTACAACTACCAGAGCCTCCCTTCCCCCGCCTACGCCGGTCTGAGTCAAGAAGAGCTCGAGTATATTCCCATGATGTGGGGCCTCGGTCCCAATCCCAATGACACGACCTTTTTTGACCAAGTCAAGAAGCTCGTGGACGAGGGGAGGAATATTCAGCGCGTACTGGCTTTCAATGAGCCGGATGCCGACGCCAGCGTTGGCGGAAGCAACGTCAAGCCCCAAGACGCGGCCCAGGCCTGGGTTGCCAATTTTGAGCCCCTTGGCAGGATGGGCATCAAGCTTGGCCTGCCGGCCTGCACCGGCGGTCGTGGAGGCCTGCCTTGGCTGAAGCAGTTCCTGGGGAACTGCTCAGACTTGGTGAGCACGGCCGGTGAAAGAAAGAATTGCACCTGGGACTTCCTGCCGGTCCACTGGTACGACAACTTTGCCGGGCTTGCCTCTCATATTGGCGAGCGCAAGGCTACGTGAGTCACCGCTTCTGTCAATGCTTCCGCGCAGGCGAGCTCGAGCCTAACCTTGTCCTCGCAGATGGCCAGATGCAGAGATTTGGATAACCGAGTACGCCTATGCGCACCAAGACCTCGGCCCGACTCAAGACTTCTTCAAGCAGACGGTTGACTATTTTGACAAACTCGACTACATCGGCCGCTACTCGTACTTTGGCGCCTTTAGAGCAAACAAGGCAAACGTTGGGCCCAACGCTGCCTTTCTCAGCAACGGGGGTCAGCTGACAGACATTGGATCCTGGTATCTGGGCTTTGACGCCACTGGCGTGAGCCCCCAAAGCGGGAAGTCCTCGACAGTTGCGCACAGTGCGAAGCTATTAGGGGCCTTTTTTTTTACGGCGCTCGTTGTCGGTTGGTTTTCATAGATGGCGGCGGTGTATCGGATTACAGCATGCATTTGGGGACCACATTGAGCTAATGAAGAGAAGGTGTGCTTATAGAATGGCTTCATCAGAAATGCGGGGGACATGTACATATGGTGATTTACAAGTCGTCATTCATAGGACAGAGGTTATGGCCGCCTCCTAGCAAGCAGTTTGTGCTGTGACGTATCTAGTGTCCTGGACACGAGCGTATGAGCGAACATCGTGATGATGGCCTTGTTGGGAGTTTGCCTCGTTAGCTGCTGGGGAGCTGCAGAGCGCAAAACATGCAAGCCGGCACTAGATGGACCATGGCCCGCAGTCCATGACTTGGCAGTCATTTTCTGAATGCATGTTGACACGTGCTTGGATATTGGAATTGTAGGATGGGACGATGCGGCGTAGGGGAGTTGGTGCCGTGAGATGCATTTTGCAGGGCATCTCGCGACGAGGAAGGTCGGGCCAAACTCAGCCACATGTTCCGATTGCGGGACCCGCCCGGTCCTTGCGTGGATGCGCCCGGGGGCACTCAGCCTCACGCATCACGACGCGGCTCAGGCCATGTTCTGGGCGTGACCACGGCAGCACGGACGGGCAGGTAGGACATCCACGGTCGCCATCGGGAGGGCGCAGCAGGGCGGCTCGGGGGAGGTGAGGGGGCACGTGACTCGGCGCTTGGAGGAATGCCAAGGCTCGGCTCTTGGCGATGGGGCTTGGGGAAACGGAGGTAAGCCGGGATGGGAAGGCGTCGAGAAGCTGATGGCACGGCTTGGCTTGGCTAGGGTCTAGGCCTATTTTAGACACTGGCTGAAAGCTTCCTTTGCACGATCGGTATGGCCCTCGGTCTGCTAGACGATTGGCGGGCAAAAGCAGCACTTAGTCACTAGTCCTGCAGTTCATGGGCACGGCACAGATAAGCTTATTGTGTGCACCGCCAGTCATCGGGGTGCATCGAGGCGCCATGTGCGCGCCGGGACCAGCATCCGTAGGTGTTGATGAAGCCGTGCGTATCCGTACAGTATCCGTATGTAACTTATTCTTGGCAGAGCCGTTATCAGGATTCGAGGCCACGCGTTGCCAAGGGTGTCTTGGCACTGTTTCTTGGCATGGGAGAGAAAGTGCGACGGGGGCTTCAGCGTCACGTGGGATGGGCGAGAGCCGTCTTTGCGCTGAATGCCGGGAGGTGAGCGCCCATGGCTACTGGTGACGAGTCCATTCTCTCGTAATTGAGAGCACGTTTCCTTGCCCCAGCCGTTCCCGTCGGCACGCCAAGGCGGGGCGTGGTGCTGATTGGATGAATCATGATGGAAGGAGCCTCATGGAACAACAGGTCGGCTCTCCGCAGGCGGCAGGTGCAGGCGGCAGGTGCAGCGAACTCCAGGTTTTTCCTTCTACTGCCCCAGACGCTCATCGCCTCAGGTTCAAAGATTCCCCTCCATACCAAACGGCGCCGTCTTCAGCCGTATGCAGCAGACGGCCATCCCTAGGATTGATGCTTTCGCCAAGCCTCACGACCGCATCTCGTCGAGCCACCATTGCGGTCCCTTGACGTCACGCCACGAACGTTGGAGCGTGGAGAAGGAGGGCGACGCTGTTGACTCGCTGGGCGCATTGCAAATTGTGGATAGAGAGGCTTCGCCAAGAGTTCCGAGTTGCCCATGGCCCCATTTCATCATGGCTCGGCAGAAAGCAACACTCGGCCGTAGTCCACGAATACTAATATCGGCTGGTCCCCGCCTCCCATGACTGTCTGCGAACCTTGATGCTCGAGATAACAACTGCAAAGGTCGACCCAAACAAACGTCTCTCCTCACCCAGTCCAGTCGACTGAAACCTCCAACAATAAAGGTCGACACTTAGGCCATTGTCTCAGTCAACTGACCAAAAGCACACGCACGCATCACATCGTCGTCTATGAATCAACTCCGGACCTTGACGAGCCTGTGCCCCGCATCCGAGCACGGATTCTTCTGCTACCTGCCGCCTTGCGATAATGGCTGAGTTCCCAAAGCACCCCTTCCTCCTGTCTGTCGAGGAGACGGCCCAGGCCCTCTCCACCGACATCGACAAGGGCCTCACCTCGGCACAGGTTGCCCAACTGCAGGAAATATACCCCAAGAATGAACTCAACGTGGGGCAGGCCATCCCCTGGTACAGCATCCTGACCAAGCAGCTTCTCAATGCCATGATTATTGTACGTCAATACTCCCTTTGCCATTGGCCCGCCCTGCGTCTGTGTCGGCCAATCGTCTAACATGGATTCTGCAGGTTTTGGTATTTGCCATGGCTCTCAGCTTTGGCATCGAGGATTACATCGAGGGAGGCGTCCTCGCCTTCGTCATCGTGCTCAACGTCACCATTGGCTTCTGGCAAGAGTACCGCGCCGAGAAGCACATGGATGCTCTCCGCGCCCTCTCTTCCCCCAGCGCCATGGTATTGCGCGATGGCAAAACCCAAGTCATCTCCAAGTGAGCCGGCCCGTTCCTCGCTTTGCAGCCGCGACAGCCACGACTAACCGTGTCGCAGTCCCGAGGTAGTTCCAGGAGACATCGTGCTGCTCAAGATGGGTGACACCGTCCCGGCAGATCTGCGAATCTTCGAAGCCATGAATCTTGCCTGCGAAGAGGGCCAGCTCACTGGCGAATCCATTCCCGTCGAGAAAATCTCGGACAACGGCATCCTGGTTCCGGGCACCGAGAAACAGGCCACGTCTGAAGAAGACATCGGTATCGGCGATAGAGTCAATATGGCCTATGCCACCACTGTCGTCCGAAAGGGCAGAGGCCGTGGCGTCGTTACGGCCACCGGCATGGCCACAGAGGTTGGCAAGATTGCTGCCTCTACTTCCAAGAAGCGACGCAAGGCTGGCCGCTCCATGAACTGGCGCAAGTATGGCAAGAGACAACCCGTCGTTGGGCTCTCCAAGCGCGTCTACGACAGCATTGGGAAGTTCTTGGGCTTGACGGTGGGGACTCCTCTGCAGCGGAAGCTGTCTGCGCTGGCCTACATTCTCTTTGGCGTCGCCATCATCCTCGCCATGATCGTCTTTGGTGTCAATCATTTCAACCTGCGCAACGAAGTCATCATTTACGCCATCTCGGTCGGCATCGCCATCATCCCCGAGTCACTTGTCGCGTGAGTTGTCCCTTGAAGCTGCTGTATCGGCAAGAATGCTGACACCTGCCGTAGCGTCCTAACCATCACCATGGTTGTCGCCGTCACCGTGATGCGCAAGGCCAACGTGGTCGTGCGAGATCTGTCTGCGCTCGAGGCACTTGGTGGTGTCACCAACATTTGCTCCGACAAGACTGGTACTCTGACCGAAGGCGCCATGATTGTCCGAAAGGCTTGGATCCCTTCTTCCCACCTCTACACTGTCCGCGAATCCCAAAACCCCAACGATCCCACCAAGGGCCGCGTGACGTATTCGCAGAACAGAGACGAGCCGGCGCCCGAAAAGGAAGAGCCCAAGCGCGATTACGACAAGGAGCGAAGTGCCGCGGGCATCAAGTTTGATGTTCCGGACGAGAAGCTTAACCCTAGGCCCAAGGACCCGGAGCCAGAGAGTGAGACGGAAATGACGGACGAGCTCCAGGCATTCCTGCTTTCGACCTCTCTGTGCAATCTTGCAACTGTTCGGTACGACAAGGAGGAGGAAAAGTGGCAGACGACTGGCGAACCGACCGAAATTGCCCTCCAGGTGTTTGCCCACCGCTTCAAGCAGGGCAAGAAGACTCTAGAGGGCAATGGTTGGAAGCAGCGCGCCGAGTTCCCCTTTGACAGCTCCATCAAGCGCATGTCTGTCATTTACGACGCCCCCGAGGGTGAAAGCGGCTCCATCATTGAGACGCAACGGAGCATGGTCTTCACCAAAGGCGCCGTGGAGCGCGTCCTCGACCTCTGCTCATACATTGGGACGGGTGCTGAGCAGCAGATGGTGACGGAGGAGCTCAAGGAGATTGTCCTCAACCAAATGAATGAGCTCGCCTCACAGGGCCAGCGAGTCCTTGCCATTGCTTACCGGCCCTGGGGTGGTCGATTCACGGCCAAGCAGTCCACCTCTGCGGCCGAAGACGAGAAGCTGCGGTCCGAGGTGGAGAGGGATCTGGTGCTTCTCGGTCTTGCGGGCATCTACGATCCCCCGCGCCGCGAGACGAAGCATTCCATAGGAGAGTGTTCGCAGGCTGGCATCAAGGTGCACATGCTCACGGGCGATCACCCAGAAACTGCCAAGGCCATTGCAAAGGAAGTCGGCATCATCCCCAAGAACCTCGGCATCCTCCCCGACAAGGTGGCCCGGGCAATCGTGCAAAAGGCGACGGATTTCGACAAGATGGCGGACGAGGAGATTGATGCGCTGGAGGAACTGCCGCTCGTCGTTGCTCGGTGTGCTCCCGACACAAAGACGCGCATGATTGAGGCTCTCCGCCGCCGAGGCGCCTTCATGGCCATGACTGGCGACGGCGTCAACGATGCGCCCTCGCTGTCGCGGGCTGATGTCGGCATCGCCATGGGGTCGGGATCCGACGTGGCAAAGTCGGCGTCCAAGATTGTGCTCACCGACGACAAGTTCAACTCCATCGTGGCCGCCATCCGCGAGGGTCGTCGAATGTTTGACAACATCCAGAAGTTTGTGCTGCACCTGCTGACCTCGAACGTCGGCGAGGTCATTCTCCTGATTGCCGGGCTCGGCTTCGTGGACCGGACGGGCTTCTCCGTCTTCCCCGTCTCGCCGCTGCAGATCATCTGGATCAACATGGTGACATCTTCGTTCCCCGCCTTTGGCCTGGGTCGCGAGCAGGCGGCCGCCGACGTGATGCGCAAGCCCCCGCAGGACAAGAAGCGCGGCGTCTTTACCAACCAAGTCATTGTCGACATGGTCGTGTACGGCGTCATCATGGGCGCCTGCACCATGTGCACCTTTGTCATCATCATCTACGGAGCCAACAACGGCGACCTGGGCTTTGACTGCAACACCAACTTCTCGGACGCCTGCATCCCGGTCTTCAGGGCGCGAGCCGCCACGTTTGCCGAGCTGACGTGGCTGATTCTCATCTCGGCGTGGGAGTTTAAGAGCCTGCGCCGGTCCATGTTCCGTCTGAATCCCGACGACGACAGCACGTTTCCCGTGTTCAAGGACCTTTACGCCAACAAGTTTCTCTTCTGGTCCGTCATCCTGGGTGGGCTGTCGGTGTTCCCAGTCGTGTACATTCCCTTTCTCAACACAAAGTTCTTCAAGCACACGGGCATTTCGTGGGAGTGGGCGCTGGCCGTGGGATTCACGATAGTATTTGTCGCAGGCATCGAGCTCTGGAAGCTGTGCAAGCGAACGTTCCGCCTCCTCGAGGACCGTCCCGTGCAGCGCGGCATCTGGGGCCAGGGCGGGCCGGACGACCAGGGGCCCAAGTTTCGCAAGACGCTTTCCATGTCGAGCTTCAGGACGTGGGCCTCCTTTTCGCGCAAGGACACGACCGACTCGACGTCGAAGCGCATCCCTTCGCGAACCACTTCTCAGGCGGCGCTGTCCGAGGTCTAACTAATGCAGGTGGGTGTCGGCCATGTGTTGATGAAAATGGAGAATCACCATGTATGGGTCTTTGTGTGTTTGGGGGATAATGAGCTGGAGGGCTGCATCTAATTAGTCCATGTCGTATAGGAGATGACGCCAGGAGGGATTTCTGGATATCTGGTGTGTTCTGTTGAGATACCACGATGAGCTTGGCTGCTCTCTTACACGTCTACCTTTTAATGAGAAGAGGAGGATACACTGTTGGCTACTGCAGACTTGATGTATAATTCTTTCCCCCGAGGCTGCCGTGAAGTGTTGATGGACATGGACATGGCAGGTCGTAGCGAGAGTAGGGAGCTGCAGTCACGCCATAGACAGGTTCGTAGAGACGTGTCCTCGGAGATGCGCTTACAAAGAGCCTTTCTCGAAGACGTAGAATGCCGCCAAGGGACGGTTGTATTTGTGTGTTTGAATCTATGTGTGGGGGTTACAAAACAAGAAGACGACGATTGTCGAGTGTCCCTGATGCGCCCAGCACGTTTCGACGCCAGACCAGGGCGGGATGAGGTCATTACAGACAACAGGTTGGCGAGCGGCATGAATCAGTCGGCGAGGTTGTAAATCTTCTGGACGTTGCACAGCATCGACTTGAAGTCAATCTTGAGGTCCTTGAGCAGGCCGTCGTGGAAGCCAAAGACCCAGCCGTGGACGACGGGGTACTGGTTGCGGGCGTACGACTGCTGGACGGCGGCCGTCTTGACAATGTTGCGGCACTGCTCCTCGACGTTGAGCTCGACGAGGCGATCATAGCGACGGGCGTCGTCGTGGATGGCATCGAGCTCGAGCTCATGCAGGCGATAGACGTCACGAATATTGCGAAGCCAGGGGTTCAGCAAGCCGAGATCCTTGGGGGTCATGGCGGCCTTTACGCCGCCGCAGCCGTAATGGCCGCAGACGACGATGTGCTTGACGCCGAGGTGTCGCACGGCGTAGTTGATGACGCTCATAACGTTCAGGTCGGTGTTGCAGACGAGGTTGGCGATGTTGCGGTGGATAAAGGCCTCGCCGGGCTCGAGGCCGGTGATTTGCTCGGCGGGGATGCGCGAGTCGCTGCAGCCGATCCACAGATACTCGGGCGACTGGCCGGCCGACAGGCGGGCGAAGTAGCCCGGGTCGCGCTGCTGCTTGTCGGCGGCCCAGGCGCGGTTGTTGGCGAAGAGGCGGTCGTGGGATTGGCGGAGGTAGCGGGTGAGGTCTTCGGGGGGAGGCGGGGGGGCGTCGTCGGCGGATGCCGGTGGGGCGGTGGAGGATGCCATCGTGTTGCTGTTGGTGGTGGTTGTGTTTGGGGACGTGGTGGTGGGAGGGCGCGTGGCTGAGGATATAAAGGGGGAGGAGGAGGAGGGAGCCGAGGTCGACGAGGAGGAGCGGTCGGATCGGGGAGGTGGCGGCGAGCGGCTGCTGCTTGCGCAACGACTCGTGATGCAAGCGGGCGCGGCTCGGAACAGCAACTGTCGACTCGGGGCAGGACCAAGGGCGCGCAACGCGATGATGCCGCGGGCGGGGAGACGAAGCATCAAGGCCGATAGCCCAACCAACGGCGTGGGGCGTCTCGGAAAAACCCAGCAAATTAAGCCCGCAAGAGATTGACAGGTACCCTCTCTTTCTCCGCGCCCGAAGAACCGAGCGTGGGTGGGGGGGGGCCAAACGCCGGCAAGAGAGGGGGGAGAAAGCGAGGGTGTGTGTGTGTGTGTGTGTGTGTGTGTGGTGGAGGTTATATTAGTTTGAGTTTGGGGAGAGAGCGGATCGGGAATGATGGATGTGTTTGGCGGGTTCGGATTGGGTGGTGCGACGCTTGTCTCTCTGTTCTTTTTACGGGCGGGGCGGCGCGGGCTGGACGGGAGCCAGAGCAATTACCGAGATACGTTTCAAGCGGTACCGTTGCTGGAGTCGACACCAACTTACCTACCCTATGACAACGTCCCCATGCTCCGACGTTATCTCTCCTGCAACGAATTAGCAGTCTCGGCGGGGGAGCCACCGCTCGCCCAGCATCCCTTTGTGTTCCCGTGTCAACAACGAACCGGTGGCTGCTGCAGGTAAGACGGATGGATCCGTGCATTCGTCTCCGCAACAGTAAGCAAGCACGCGCGTCTAATCCATCCGCGTCAGCACTGCTCCTTAACTTATTGTCTATCACCTTGGGGCTTAATTATAGCCATGTCGCGAACACCGGCCGGGGCGGGCGGGTCATGCATGCGCTGCAACTACTCCCGGCCCCGGGTCGCGCGCTGCAGTCGTGATGAGCGGGCTTGCATCGACTCCCGGACCCACGAGGAGCCATCAGCCGAGACAGACACGACAAGACCCGACGGGGTCCAACGTCGCAATCCATGCGGGGACGCCGAATGTCGCCCACACTGTCGGGCGTCTAACTTACCCACAGCCATGGAACCCAGTCTCCCATCGCATCGGCCCCAAGGTGAGCGTCGAGACATACATGCATACCAACACAATCACACACTCGCAAAACACCTCACATGTCGCAACCTCCTTTTCGCCTCCGACTGCGACGAGACCGTCCATCCATCAGACTCCCGTCCCGCGCCATGTCTTTGATCCCACCTCTCTCGCGGGATCCGTATCTTGTCCCGGTGGGTCAAGCGCCCGTCAGTCAGAGTCTCGGTCCTTGCCGAGGCCCAGACGTCAAGACTGAGAGGCCACTTGGACGACAGAGCCTGTTCATAGAGAGATATTATCAATTACGGTCCTAACTTCATTGGCCACCCGTCCCACGCTTTTCCTCCCTCCATCAAGAAAACATGTATGCGTTGGCGTCCCCGAGCCCATCCATTTCCTTCTCAAACAACACCTCGCAGTAAGTCGCTCGACATTCCAGCACAAAGATTAATAATAAATTAAGCTCCTCGGGGAAGAAAAAAAAAAGAGGCACGAGAGGTGGAAAAGGGCGTGAAAGGGTTGTGCTGCTCCGGCCGAGCCTAGGAGTTTCCGTCAAACGCGCAAAAGGGTATAAAATGCCTTGTAGAATCTTGCCACCTCAAACTTCTCCGACGAGTGGGCCGACGACCCAAAAGAAATCCACCCAGATTCGTACCTAGATCCATCGTCTATAGATTGACGCCCGAAAAAAGAGCCTGGACAGGCAGACGTGACGGCGAGGGCCAAGATGAGGACTGGGATGAAGCGATGCTTCAGCATGCCATTCGCTCGAGATGGTAGACAGAGTCAGTCACCACGCCCGTACCCATATCGACATTCATGTCACTCTTCGATGCATGTCTGGCGGGAACACAGGCTTGCTCAAGAGCGCGGGAAAACAAGACAATCACCCGAGGCCGTATCGACTTGCCAAGAAAATGGATACCTTGTCGACAAATCGTTCATTCTCCGGAAAAGATAGGGGATGCCATGCAAGATGAATGGCCGGCAGATTGATGCCATCCCTCCCAAGTATGTACGCCCCGCCGTCTGGTGCGTATCCATGGTGCAGACGAACGCCTCCATGACGCATCTAACCCCCTTGTGACGGGATTGACGGCGATGGTGCATGCAGTGCGGCACGCTTCGAAGTCGTGACGCCCAGCCGTGACTAGGGTGCCCGACGGCGTGGTGTGTCGGCTGCGATCTTGATTGGCCTACACCAACTCCGCCTGACTCACCCGTCCCTCCCTCTCGGCGCTCACGAGGCTGTCCCATGCAGTCATTCGACGACAGAGGACCTCGCACACAGCATGGCAGGAAGACTGCGAGCCAAGTTTGGGAGTAGGGGAGGAGACGGGGCAGGTGACAGTAGACGCAAATCGCCCACCATGCAAAACCCCTCACCAGCTCCCAACTCCCGACGCCGCGTAGCGACCGCAACTCCTAGTGGCAGACGTGTCTGCCGGAGCAGGGCGCCGAGTATCCCGGCGGATAGCTCATGCGCGCGGTGCGCCGTCTCCATACGTCGTCGCACCATAAACAGATTGACTCGTCGAGGGGTGATGAGACGCCAGGCTCGGGTAGCTGTCGGGATAGCTCGCAGAAGCCGTATCCCAGCGAGGCGGTGTCGCCGTGGACGGATGATGGCTGATGGGTGTGTGCAGCCCCGAGCTGCCGTAGCCGCCCGTGGAGACTGTACGCGTGTCGTACGTAGTCACGGCCGGGAGCGGCGTCGTGTTGATTCGCATGGGGGGCGCCTGTGGTTGCTGTTGCGGACTCGTGTGACGAATGTTGGGGCTGAGGGTGCGGGTGGCAGCCGCCGAGTACGTCGGGCCAGTCGTGTAGGGAGTCCAGGACGCTTGCGAGCCCGACAACGACCGAGGAGACGGGATGGATTCGTGCTGGCTCGAATGCACCGAGTACTGGCTCTGCGGATCGCCGTGGTGGGATGGCAGGCCGTGCTGCGATCCCATGCCCTGCCCGGGCGGTGTCGGCAACGGCGCATACGGAGCCGTGCCCACCGTCGTCATCATGTTGGCCGGAGGCAAGGTGCTGCTCGGGCTGGCGCTGTACTTGCCGATGATCTTTTTGAGCGCGGGTTCGAGAATTTTCCAGGGGAATACCTTGACGTCTTTCTCGATGTTGCGGGGCTTGGGATTGGGAAACCCCATGATGATTTTGAAAAATTCTTCGCTGTCAGCCTTAGCCTTGGACACCGTCATCGGATGGAAGCCTTCGAGGTTACGGCGGATGCGGTTCTTCTCCTCAACGCTGAAACGGTTCGGCGCCGCCACAAGCTGCTCAAGAAGATGGATTGTGTCGACCGACGTGACGAAGCACTCTTGCTTCTCGGCCCACCAGATGCATGAGATGCAGATGCTATTGGGAGGGCGGTCATTCACGGGAACGGCGCGGAAAGAGGCGGTCAGGCTTGAGCCCGTCTGAGACTTGCGGAACATGACGATGCGACGGCGGTTGTCCCACTCCTCCTGTGTCCAGTTCTCGGCCATTGTGTCTAGCTTGCCGTTGATTTTGAGGACGGCCTTGCTCGAGTAGAGTGAGATGGGATGGTACGGCCCGTTGCTCCCGGCGCCGTTGGCGATCGTGCTGGTGCGGATGAGCTGGGGAGTCCCGCTGCTTGTCGAGGAGGGCATCGGTAGTGGCGTCAAGCTAGGCCGACCTGATCCTAATCCCGCGTGATCCAGGACACTGGGTCGACCAGTGCTACCCAGCGTGGCCCCGAACCCGCTCCATCCTGGTGCCGGCCGGCGGTGATGGTAGTGCGGATCGGTAAAACTCGTGCTGCGGTAGGTCGAAATCATGTCTCCGTTGCCCTGCTGAAAATCGGGTGCATATTGAGATTGTTGAGACGGGTAGTCGTAGCTATTTGTAGCCGCGTCCGACGAGAGGTGGCCGTCGACTGCTTTGGGCGAGACGCTCGGCTGATCAACCTGCGGTCCAGGTGCCGAGGTGTCATGCTTGGGCATCTTGGTTGTCCGCGTGATTTCGTCCCCCGACCCTTCGAGATACTGAAAAGACCCGGCCACCGTCCGCGAGATCTCTTCCACGGACGGGCCTTCAATCACCAGTGACAGAGGCGCCGTGTTGCTGCTGCAGCCCGTGACCATGAGTTGCGGCGCGTCGGCGCTGCACGAGTACACAAAGCCAGAGCTATCCTGAGCCTCCCGGGTCACGTCCTGGATCGCGCACTTTTCGGAGCCGAAAGACAGGAAGACGTAGGGCATTGGTGATGACATGGAAAACAGATCGTACTGGGACGAGAACTTGAGGTAGACCTTGGTGCCAAACGTGCCTGACGTTGGGTGGCAGGAGAGCACCGTCGGCCCCGTGGGCATGTACTGAGCAACGGCATTATTCGAGGCGAAAGATTGCTGGTTGAGCTGAGCGAACTTGTCTGATTGTTGCGCGGAGAACGATGGCGCCGGATACTCGCCGTAGCCTGCATCCTGGTATCGTGTTGAATCGTAGCCTACTCGTCCTCGGGAAGCCACTGGGTTAGCATGCTTCTGCCCTCCATTATTCATCACAAACTGCCGTCCGAGACGCTCCTCTCCAGCGCATCGTGACGCCGCTATTTCGCGAACGAGCTGCTCTTTGGATCCCCGGTCTTCGAGGCCATCACCTCGACCTGCCAAGTACGCCATCCGCCCAATCAACCACTTACCATGCATTGAAGGCAGCTGCGCCTTGCCGTAGGTGGCCATGTCGAGGACCGTGGGAGGAGAGTCCCCGCGTGGATCTCCTCCGTTGGCTGCCCGAGCGGCTTCTTCGTACTTTAGCGTGAGAGTATCGGGGGATTCGAGCCTGTTGTCGACGCCAACGATTATCGGCTTTTGTGTTTGATATACTGGCTGCAGGATGTTAGTCCACGAGAGTGTTCTCCTTCTCCTCCAGGATAGACAGGTCAGAGGCGCCGTCTTTCCAGACCAGAAAGATGGAGCCAACAAGGTTAAGAGAGTACAGCGAGAAAGATATTGAAACCGGTTGAACAACACAGCCGTGTTGGAACAAGGTCTAGGCCACGAACTCACCTCGAAGAGTTTGTAAGATGGGGACTGGAACTTGACAGCAGACATGAAGCTGTCAGGGAAGGGATATAGTCCGCCTGGACAAGCAGGAAAGATCCCAAGGAGAAGGTGAAGAATGCCAAAGACTGTCTTGGGTAGGGAAGGTGGTTGCGGTAGCCGATAAAACCAGGTCTCGTCGAGGTCTTATTCGATGGGGAGCACTCTGGCAAGAAGGGGTTCCCTTCTGTCAGAACGGCTTGGCCTGTCGGAGATTTGATATGCTGTGGCCAAGAGTCGGATGCCTCTGATATTTTGCGGAGACCTGTCAGTAGTTGCTTTTTTTGCCCCGGGAGAGAAGGGGTGGGGAGAGGGACGTGTGTGGGTGAGACAGGTGCTGGGCAATGAGCCATCTTACTGGTTCGATGAGAGATCCTGGCAGTGGCAGAGGACGGTCCCGATCCTGGGCAGAGACAGTCGCATTCCAAAAGGGACGATCCCTTCTCTCGAATAAGGCAGGATACCTTGCCCTTCTTGACTCGAGTCTCTCGAATCGGTGAGCTGTGTGACCCGGAGAACGCACAGAGATAGGCTAGGTGGGGTGCCAGGAATGCCGGGTCATTGGCGTTGGGATATCTGACGAGGCAAGCAAGATTCCTCAAGCACCAGAAAAGCTGAGCCTGGTTGAGGAACGCGACCTGCTCTCGTCGGGGCGTGCTACCAAGCACCGTGTGGCTTGACTTCTTACCAACCACAACGGATTAGCAACCACTCGATCAGCCCAGCAACTTGGTGTCAAGCAGGCAAGTTGCTTAGGAGCTGGTCCGTCGGGAGCGGCATAGGAGGGGACACGGACATCAGCACAGAGGGAGCCACACGTACATGGCTTTTAAACGCCTGACCAGAGCGGCACTTGGCAGAAGCGGGCTTCCAACAGGCCCAGAGGAGAGTCGTCCTTGCTTGAGGGCAGTGGAGCTGCGAATGATTGCGCTATGCAGGACCCCGAACTGTTCGCAGGGAGGGAAATGATGGTCAGCACGCGGGAAGAGCGGAGCCTTGATGTGTGCAAGTGCGAAAGCACGAGCGGTACTTTGTAAACAAGGAAGAGGGAAAAAGAAACGCAGGCAATGCTGAAGCCGATGTGAAGGAGCCGGCCAAGTGGAGGGGTGAGGTGATGAGATGGCTTACGGTACGAGGCACAAGAGGGCGGGCAGCTGGTTCAAAGGCCGATAGGATTGGGGGAAAGGTCACAATCTTTTGTTCTCTCCCGGTGTGGGGGGGGGGTTGGGGGTTCAGATGGCAGAAGAGGAAGAGGAGCAAGCGGGAGGCATTTCTTTTGGAGACTGGGGATGGCGTATGCAAGCCGTTTTTGCCCTGCGTCGAGCCGTCGACCGGTCGGACCAGGCCGCGGTGGAATACCTGGGGAGGCCAAGGGAGGGAAAAGGCACGGGTGTGTAATATGATGGGCCATGAAGTAGCCAATGAGGGGGTAGGCGGAGGACGAGTCACGAAGGATAAGATGATGAGAGCCAGATGGGCAGCTTTCTCTTTTTCTTTTGCCTGCATCAACAATAGCTTTGCACTGGAAGGCACGTCAGCCCGGACGTTGGCCTTGGGGGAAAGGCCAGGCACGGCCGGCGGCACGGCGTCGGTCGCTTTTTTGCTTTGCACACCGCGGAGTGAAGGGCAGATAGCCCGACTGAGCCGAGGACCGGGACCTTGTGACGGTGGTCTGGACGAGGGAGGGAGGGGGCAGCAGCGGTAGCAAGCATCAGGGAGGAACCAAAGAGTAGCAGAGAGAGTATCCCGGTGCCTGGGACTGCAGACGAAGCGGCGGCTGGTCTGCCGCGCGGGCTAGGACGGCGACCAGACGTTCGAGTGGCGCCGGAGCGCATCTGGGGCATGAGATGGAGAGCAGGACTCAGTCCCCGGCCGTTGAGATGCGAGATTCCCAGTGTCTTGGTGGGATGCTGCAAGGGTGAAGAGAGACAGGCGAGATGGTGCTTGGTGGAGGGTGGTTGGTGTGGACATTGGATTGGGGAGGGGGCGTGGGCAAGTGAGCATGTGCGGAGGCTCTTAGGGGTGTGTGTGTCTAGGGAGAAAACAGTGGCGTATCCTTGTGCTTGGGGAGTGACGTGAGAGGTGCAAGTGGTCGGCGACTAAAGGGACGAATAAACAGGGGCCTCTTCCCATGTGTCGGTACATGCACCTCTGGTCTGGACGCACGGTGCTGGCCGCAATGTCAGACATGAGAGCTGGGGGCAGAGCATCATCGTCATCATCACGCAGGTGACATCCGTCGGGCCAGCGGGCAACGAGCCTCGGCGACACCTACAGCAGTCCTCAAGATGCTGCCGGGCCAGGACCAAAGAAGTCGGGGATCAAATGGCGCCTTCACAGAGTGTGCGAGAGAAGGAGTAAAGAAAAAGGAAAGCCAGGTACCACGTACGACTTGAGAAGGCGTTTTGCTCCGGCTGAAGAGGTGCGGCGTGTAAGTCGAGTACAGAGTGCCGCCGGGCTGGGCCTGTCCCTGTGTGTGTCTACAGCAGATCAGTTAGCGCATGCTTGATTGGTCCTCTCGAGCAGTCCGTAAGGAGCAGTGGAGCAATCAGCGGCAGACTGACAGAGCCGGGGGAGGGGGCCCTGGAGAGACGGGGCTTGTGGTCAGAAGCCGGCTTTTGGGGGCGGGGGCCACCGGTAGTAGACGGGACCGTGCCACCAGACTGCACCACAGTGCACCGCCGCGCCTCGCTGCGAGGTGCCCAGAGCAGTGCGCCGCACCCACAGGCTGCGCAGGAGATCAGCGGAGGCCCCACTGCCTTGCTTGACCTCCACCCTCCGCTACCTTGAGCTCCCCAGGGACCTCTCCATCCGGTCTGTTGGCTGCTGCTGCGAAGGGAGAGGGAATTAAGGGACCACTTGGTCATCTCGTCGTCGCAAACATGAGCGACTTCTTCCATGGCTGTGCTGAAGAGCCACTGCTCGCAGGGTCCTCGTCTTATCGCTGCCTGTGCCAGCAGCTCCCGAAAACAAGCTCATTGCTTTTGGGGGGGGGAAGAGGGGGGGACCGGGGGAAAAAAGGGGGGTGGGGGGTTCCGGGGCTTAGGTCAAGGGAGGGGCCAGGCGTAAGTTGCACAGGCGGTGCCAGCCGCCTCCATCTGCCCGTCCCGCGCCGGTCTCGAAAGACGTGCTTCTTTCTCCACACTTTCGTCGGGGTCCGTACTAGGTACCTAACGCAAGGAGCAGGCAGGTTTGATGAGCGAGCGATCGATACGAGACGGTCGAGAGTTGGAGAGAAAATGAAAAACAAACAAGGCAAAAGGAAAGCGACAAGGAGAATCAGCTCGCATCACCCTTGTTGTTCCCAGGCAAGAATAGCCAAGCTACCTCCCGTAGCCGAAGGCAAAAGATCAAGATAAAAAGAGGATAGGGAGAAAAAGATACAGGAGTCAGGCATGGGAATCGGGGACAAAAGCCCAACGGTTTCGCTGTCGCGCGCGCACTGCTAGCCAAGGTCAACCGCGCCGAGTGAAGTCATGCGACGTGCTGCTACAGGCGGATGCGCCCCTGGCAGCAGCAATCGGGACACGATCAGAGCCCGGGGGTGGATCTGGCAGGATCAGCAGACCGAGCAGAGACCACGAGGCTCCGTCAGCATCGTGTCGCCAGGCTTGCCGCCTCTCACGTCCATTCCAATCAGTCGACTTGCTCTTTGGTTGGTGCTGCCGCTGCTTAACCTCCTCCCGGTCCATGGTCCTTCCACCAACTTTGTCCAGACAGATCGCGCACCACCCGAAATGGCACGTGAGGAAAAAGGAAACACGGCACATTCAAGTTTCAAGGATAGAATCGATGTGTACAGCAGGTTGCCGTTTTGCAGCGTCGTCCAGACCATCGGGAATTCAACCACCGCACCGCACAAAAGCAGACGAGGAAACGGGGACAAGGAGGTGAGAAGATCTCGCCTCTCTCCGGATTCCTTCACCGTAGCGGTGAGCTTGAAGGTCAGGGTGCCCAGGCAAAGCCTCATGTCAGTGCACTAGCACTTGTCGAGCGACCTGCTTGGGGGTCAAGGTATGTTATGCTCTGCCAGACATTTCCCGTGCTCGCTGTCCACGTACGTACAAATTACAGGACGAGGATGAATGTGCATTGGCGAGAAGCTCATCTTAGTTGCAGCAAGCTGGCTTTCACTTGGGCGGACGTGACCACCGACCAGGCGAGCAAAAGAGAAAAAGATGAATAAGTGGCAAGGAAAAAGTAAGAAAAGCAACGCGTCCGTACCTGACAACTGCTGGCTCTGGAGAGCAGGGCTGACTTGTTGCGGCGCAGCTGTCAGTGATGGATCTAAAGCAAACCATCGCCGGTGTCTCACCTTCTTTCCACCGTCCTTGCTTTTTCCCTCTAGCCACTCTCTTCTGCTCCCGGCTCTCAGGCTCTCAGCCGTTTCCCGGAACTCGACCTGATCGGTCCCTGTTGGCAGAGTCGAGACTTGTCAACGAGTGGACCCAGAAAGTCGGTCACGGAAAATGGCGAACTAGTTTTGTGTCCCGACTAGCCGTGTTGCTTGGCGGGAGCAGCCGATATTGCATGTGTTAATGGTAGTCGACGAATGGTGGACTGTAGCGTGGTCTGTAACCTTAAGATCATGAGACAGGTTTGATGCGACAGCAACGATGAGATTTGGGAGAGATGGAGGATTCCACAGACTCTTCGGGGACCACATTTCATCTTATAGTAGACGCCGAGATGGCGAGAGAGATGGAAGCCTCTCTCGTTTGCGAGCGCCGCGGCCAGGAAGCCCTGCCGGTGCTTTGGTGGCACAGCGTGGACGAAGCAAGGTACAGGAGGGATACAAAGTATTTGCTGCGACGACGAGAGCTTCAGAGGGCTTTCGTACCTGTGCACCGGATTCTGGGGATCCTGGACCCCCAGTCGTCCCACCGCCCGCTGTGCCGGGAGAGCAGCAGTGCATGTGTGCATACCCATGACACATGCTGCGCCGAAGTGCGAAGCTGCGCTCGCTAGCCAGGACCGTCGGCGAATCTGCGAGTGCCTGCTCGGAGAGGAAG